TGATTTGATGGCATTTTGAGCTTTTTCAAGTTGCATAAGATGTTCTTTTTGAAGTTGCTGTTTAAAATTAGTCCGCATTAAATAACTGCTTGATGTGGCGGGCAAAGAAGTTGACAACATTGTATCTGGATCAGGTTTGATTCTAATATTTGTGTCCATCAATTGTGATTTTCCTCCTGATCTAAAATTTTTTAAAATTTCAATCAATTTCAATCAATCAATCAAATTAAATTTCAATCAATTTAAAATACAATATTAAAAATTATTCAATCAATACTTGTTTAATAATATTTCTTTAGTGAGAAAATTGATAATCTTTAAATAATGCAAAAAATAAACAAAATATCATCACAATTCATATTTTGAAAATCACTTGACAACAAAGCATTTGAAACAAAGGACAGGGTACTTAAATTTATATTCTAGAAAATTAATCACTTACTTACTTGATTCCCTGGTACACATGGCTAAAAACACTGTTTTTCTCTTATCTAAAAATTCTTTTGTTACGTCTCAACAAAAATTTTTTGTCACAAGCCTTGGTTACGTAGTCAAGGCTGTAACGTTTTGTAAGATATGCGCCTGTTTAACAAAGACTTGATATGGATCCCACGGATTCCTTTTTATTTGCTACTAACCATTCTTAAACAACGCTTCGCTAGCCTTCCTCTTATTATACCACCTTTTAGTTTCTTTTTTGAATACCATTCAATATAGACATTGGCAAATATCGTAGGCCTTGACGATTTATAGATTTTAGTTGTCCCCCAGGACAGAAGCGTGTTCAATTCATGGAAAACTTGGTTCCGTGTTTGCGAGTTGACGCTCCCTTTCCCACAAAAGCCAGACATAAGCAGTTGGCTTTCTTCCACTGTTAACACAGAAATTACGCCATTAACGTCACATTGGAGCCTCGAAGTTAATGTACCCACAATTAGGGCCACCTTTAATTCTGAAGTATTTTTTAGAGCCCTCTTCTACAGCAGTGTGACATGGGACGAAAAAACTTTTGTAGGGAAGTGGGCCTTAATCCCTCTCAATAAATAAAGTAAAGGGAAACATATTGTACTTTTTCAAAGGCTATTTTCAATGGCTACTTTTACTATCAATTTGATAGATTTTGCTGGTTTTGCGGCAATTCGTTGGGAACAAGTTGTTGAACAATGCAAGTATCGTTTGGATTCTATTTCTGTCGAATAGGCTGCTAAACTATGATCCGAAAAGCTCATGCATGGCTGAAGCAAATATTTTTTGCAAAGCCCTGTGAACCAGCAATGCCAGCTAGCATTTAAGTATGATTCATGGAAATATATTTCGATCGCCGGTTTATTTCTGAGGTAGGCCAAAGAATTGTATAACGACATACTAAGAATTGTAAGGTATAACGACAATGCAAGTTCTGTAGTTTCGATCTGGTTCGCAAAATTTAAGAGCACTGGTAATAATTTAGATTTATGAAGTTACATTTCAACATACCCTGCATCAAAATGAGCTGACGGCATCGACTCTAACGTAAAACAATTTTTTAACTCAGTCACTTGGTGATCTTCAATTAGATCGAACTCGAGATCCACTCCCGATTCGTGCATTTGGGCACTTTAAAAAATATGCAATCACTTTGTAAACTTTAACGTTTCCGTTCACAGAGAAAAGGCTGAAATCCAAATACATCAGATCGTTGCATAAAATTATCTATTCACGTAAAACACAGCACGTTCAATCCACGCGGCCAACTACCAGTTTTTTGCAGTGAAATTTTACTTCGCCAAACTGATTCTAGGACCGATTTCATGCTTCACGCAACACGTACAAAGCATTATGGGTATACGTCATTTTGTTTTTATCGTGTGGTTATTCACTTCGAAATCGAAACAAAAATATTTTTGCGGCATTCAGCAGGGGGCCTTGAAAAATGTGTAGTTGCCTTTACTTGTCAAACATTATTTTTCTATCAAAATATTCATGAAATTTGAAGGAGTTGTAAAGCTTTTGAAAAAATCTGCTTTGGGATTTAGAGAGGGGTGCTGCTCGGAAAATTTTCGTAATTCACTCTCTTGGACCTTTCAAATTCATCCACCAGTATATCCAATGCTGCTATGAGAGGCTTCTCTATTACGCTCCTGGCTGGTGAGAGTAACTGATGATGTTTTGGTACTTGCGTTGGGCATTCAAGAAGACATAGAGTAAAAATACGCACTTCTAGGACTGGACAGTCACTTATAATGAAAAATGTTGACGGGAAAAGTCATGACAGCGGTTCTACCTATATGCATTTTTCAAGAGAGAACTGTGTAATACAATGCAAATAATAAAGAAACATTTCGTTTCAAGTTCCAGTTTAACAAAAATTACAAATCTACCTCTTCTAAGGCAATTTGTAACCGCAAGAATGTTAATAAAAACAGAGGTTGCCCCCATACGCCTTTTTAAAAGAACCATATCATTTCTTTCTAGGCTCGATGGGCTGAATTTTTGAATGAGTGGAAAAAACCGAAGTTACTTTCAAGGAGTTACTTTGAGCATCTAAAGTTCAAGAATTCTTCATGAAATTCGAATTTTCTGGATCAAATTGAATATCACCAGATTAATACTCATATCCCTATAGAAACGGGCCATTAGGTATACGATCAGACATAGTAAGGCTTTTCATTGTGACAGTTTTAATTTCATACCAGCGAATGGACTATAATGATGCAACTTTTATTATTATTTGCAACGTCTACCAAGAAAATTTAATATTATTATACCCAGGAAGTGTGGTTGCGGTAAATATATAAATGGCAAGGGTGTGGCCAAAAAAGGTCCTCTTGCCTATATTTTTCTTTACAGATGGATCTGCCGCAGATTCCTCTGGATGTAACCCATTCGAACCGCTGTGGTAAAGAAAAAAACCGTGAAAAAATTGAAGTAAATTGCACGACTACTATTGAAATAATTGAAGTAAATTGAAGCGAATTATCTCCCGCTACACAGTGTTTCTTTTAGAAGACTCATTTCGTCTGGCGGCAATGAAACGTATTTTTATACTTAGGTTTGAAAAAGGTGATGTCATTGAGAAAAAGGTTGATTATTATCAACATTATAAAAGCTAAGTTTTGAAGCCGTTTTTTTAACTGTTTGGGTGTATTTCGAATATCATGTGACACTTTTATTGATACGTGTAATGTAATCATCAGATCTACCTACAACATTTTCTGCTGCAACACATCATGGAACTCTCCTCATTTCAGTGCACTTGAGAAAATGTTTGTTTTGCTATCATCCGCATTGGTGTATGTTTATGTTTGCAAAGGAAGCGAAATATTCGACGTGACGTCATCAAGTGATGTGTACATATGTGATTAAAGAACACAAGTTCTTTATCAGTGCAAGAAAATATTTTGTAGTTTACAGCTTCATATCGAAATCGTGTAGGAAGAGAGTTAAAAATATTTTCTAATGGGTACTTTCCACTGAGTGATTTCAAAATAACTTTCAACATACCTAAATGTTACTTGAATACCTTTCCAATATGAAAATAGTACACTATTCAGTACTGATTGAACTTACCAATGGTTACCAATTCTCAGTTATCATATCCCGAACAAGAAACTGCGTGTTTACTCAAATTGTACTCTTTTATCCAAGTCCTTACTTTGAAATCATCATTAGGATACTTCCACAGCAACAGAATATTTCAAGTCAAGTGAGAAGGAGTTACTGAGCCGTAAGACCAATTTTAAACTTTTGTGACTGCCCGTTTTAAGGCCGCCGAGAGCCACATCGGGCCCAGGGTCAGGCTCAGTGCTCGGGTTCCTTCCTACCAGAAGCAATTAACCTAAAATGCCTTTAATATAGATTTATATACCTATGCTTTTTTTGACTTGCTACTTAGTACTGTTACTTAGTACTCTTACTCATAAAGAACTGCTAATCCTTCCCAGTGCAGATATTATCTGTTTTTCTTCAAGTTACTATGCTATTAAGAGTCAGACTTAATAAAAAAGCAGACTAATAGCATTAATACCTATGCTATTAAGAGTCAGACTTTAAAGAGAGACAATTCTATTACCAGCGGGTTCGTTTTTGATTAGGTGTCAAGGGTAATTGCCTCCTTGCCCCCCTTCTCGGTGGGCCTGACCTTATTCACTCAAAGTGTTGCTTACTTCGTTATGCTACTTTACTTGCTGTAATACTTTTCAATTCAATTCAATTGTTATACGTTGTCGACGTTGTATACATAACGACGACGACGAAATTTCTATTTTGTGTTGACGATCAGTGACTTCCAGTATTCCCTGTCGTCAGCTTTTTGAATTAAAGTTTGTCATTGGTCAGCAGCCTTAAACCATCCATGTATGATGTTCTTTGCCTTCCCCTGTCTCTTTCACCTTCAATTTTTCCCTTTATTTCTGCACAAGTGTCCTAAAAACTCAAGTGGTTTTTTTCCAATCGTTTCTATCACAGTTCTGTTACTGTTTGTTCTGGTCAGTACGTGACTTTGTCTCTTATTGTTACTTACTTACTTTATAATAGTTAAAAATACCGGTTTTTCTAGAGATTGGATCGAATAACGCAGAGGGTGGACTGGGCATCCATGACAGTCAACCTGCTGAGAGCGGAAGGTAATGATGAACGACGACACCGATGGAAATACTTGTGTGAGTTGAGTTTTCTAGTATGGGAATTGCCAAAATCAATCATTGTAGGACTGATAAAATACAGACACTCACAGAATATTCCTCCCTGGAAACTCTTCCTGGAAAGCAGCATTTGTAAAAATAAATTCAAAACTATCACAATACGTTTTTGCCTTAACCTCTATGTTGATGTGAATGGTCAAATGAAATGAAACATGTTCCCATGTACTTACTTATGGATCATAAATATGAGAAATACCATGAAAAAGGATAAATTGGTGCAAAGTTTAACTTCTTTCTGTCAACGAATAAAGTGTTTCTCTTTGCGTAAACAGCCCTGATTTGAGATGAGCTAGGCCAATTCGAAAATATGAAATAAAGTAAGAAAACTTCAAATTTAGATGTTTATTGGAAAGATTAAACTTACATGCATTATCTCATTCTACATAATTAGTGCTTGTCGTTATGAACCATTCGTTGGCATACTCAAGCAGCCATATAGCAACATTAAACGATCATCTAGGCAAAAACTGGTGCATATTTGATATACAGCGAGTGGTACTACCGGAAATATTAATCAGACAATAACAAGCTTTGTTACACTTTAAATTTATTAAGCAATACGATATCATTTAATCAAAAATTTTAATATTTCCAACAGCTGATTCCTAAGTTGTGCTTATTGTTTCTTAGAGATTAGGGTAAATTTTGTGAATCTTTGTAGAATACCACACATTATTTCGCTTTTCCAAAAAAATCATTAGCACAACCATATGATTTATTAGTATAAAAATACACGAAAATAGAAAAATTCTACATTGAATTTAACGACCATATAAATTTGATAGGATGAAATATTAAGTGTGTTCCTAGGGTCGAATATAAACATCAATTTACCATCTTTTCCTCTACACATTAGGGAATGCTTATATCAACATGTCCAAATTTCTGACAGTATTCTTGTATACCAAGACGATATAACTCGAGTCTCTTTTCAGCAGATGTCCTGAAAATAAACAAAATCTAGACATTAAAAAAGGGATCAGAAAAAGATTCTTAATTAGAGCAGAAAAAAAAATGTTTAGCTTTAAATCTAAAATCTTGGCAACAGCGATAAAAGTTTTGTTTACATAGAAGTGAAGGGAAAGATTGCCGCCATCTATTTCTTATTGTTGACCAACCTAGCTATCCACGGTTTGACATTTAGCAAATTGAAAATACTTTAAAACCTTTTCAAACGATAAAGCTGTCATTCCCATGAATAAAAATATAGGGGGATCATAAAAGGAATTTAAATTCTTCCTTGTTAAAGAAAGGCCTTGGTAGATATTGCTATGAAAGTTTTTAATTCCTAGAATTAATTTCAAAATACATTTCAGGGAGATTTAAGGGTTAAACAACAAAAGTCTTACAGGGCCCGCCCATTATTGACTTGCTTATAGGGACCTCGAAATTAGCTTCTGAAACTGCGGCCGGCAACATTTAGTAACACATTCTTATTCAGAAAAGAAAACCAACTGCAAGTTCTAGGATTTACTTCATGCTTTCAAGCAAGGCTACGCATAACATTATGACCCGTACGAATATCAGAGGAGGGCAATCCAGCTTTTTCAACAACGTTCAACAGCTATAGTTTCTATTTGACACACAATACGATCTGCATACAGTGACGAATAACAAGATTTGTTACAGAAGCCATTCACAACTTTACGATTATCTTCTAATTTCAACGAATAAAGACATGTTTATGTTTGAGAGTTGCTTTAGAACCGATAAGTCAGGCTAAGAAATTACCTGAAAGAAGATAATTTACACAAATATAGATAATTTAAATTCATCTACTAGATTTACAAACTCGTTTAAGCCAGAAATAACATGGATCAGAAGCTTTTGCAACCGATCTGGTGAAATTCTTGGCTAAACAGCTAATTCTATATAAAGTCATCAAAAATAACACAGGGCCCAAAACGGACTTGGTTTTTACCTACGTCAAGTCGATAATACAGAAAAGAGGATAATACAGAGTTTATATCTTAGAATGCATAGTGCTGCAGTCAACAACTCACGTCACACAGTTCGTAATAGTTTTTCGTCAAGAAACACTTTTGCGACCAAATGTAAACGGAAATCTATATCCTAATGTGGAACGAAAGTAGCACAACACACTTCATCATATTGACCCCAAAAGTAGCACAGAACATCGTTTCTCACCAACTAACTTCATTGCGTATATAGAACAAGAATATGAGAAAACGAACTCTTCCTGTATACACAAGTTCGGGATTATTTCTAAAGCATGATAGCTTCACAAACGCTAAAATGCGATCTTGCTTTCCTAATGGTTTTGAAATTGTTGTCACTAGCGCACTCTTTATTCTGGAGCCAGATGTTGACCCAGGGCCTAATCGCATTCTATTGGGAAATTATGGTTTTACTAATACGATGTGGCTACTTTCTGTTTCGCATATACGGTTTCTATTCATAAAAACATCAAAGCTGTGACATTTATTAGAAATGTAATTATATTCAGCCTGTTAACGATTCTCTTAAGACTATCTGTGAATCAACCATGTACGTTATCTTTGTATTTTACTGAATATAACTAGCACTATAGCTATGGACAAACCCCAGATACACATCCATTTTGATAAATTTCCGCTTTTTTGAGAGTTTGTCAAAGTCTAATCTTGTTAACCTTGGCGAGCTCGTTACAAAATACCTACGTGATACAGAGGCTTCTAACATTAGTTTAGTTGAAATAACAATAAAAAACTTTTGTAAAACATTTTAATATCTTTGAATTCGCTATGCCTACCTGGCTTTATGCTCCTCGTGCAACCGTATTTTCAACATGGCGATTATTTTGTTTTGTACATCAAGCTGATTTTCTAATTCTTGAACTTGTACTTCAAATTGCGAACGTTGTAGTTCCAGCTCCAGGGCCAATTCGTTAACTTGTGTCTCGTAGTCTAGAAAATTCCAAGCAATTTATGTTTGACAAGACTTTCTAATTTCTAACAAAGAAATAATTTCCTCTTTATTTTAGAACAATTATCCTTACATACGACCCATAAAATACCATTTATTGATAGGAGATGCTATTAGACTTTTCCATTATTTTTTACTCACACAGATAGTGGGTTTAACAAATACCGTCCATATTACAGTGAAACAGTAACTGGATATACAATATATAGATCATTCGAGTAAAAAAATCTATTGATTTGGGACTGATGTTTAGAACAATAGACAAATGTGGCCGAACAAAATAATACAAATAAAAAATTATCTGTAAAATATCCAGGGCAAAACTATTTGCTCTTATGCTTCATTTCTCTTTTTCAAGACTTGCTATTCATTCAATTCGTTCATTCAAGATTTGGAGAAAGCTTTCACAAAAGATATTTCATAAAAGAGGGCTTTGTTAAAACCTTTTGTTTAAAGACCCCCTTTAGATCATAATACCCCCTTTCCCCTTCATCCTTCAAAAATGTCTTTTCATCGATTATGTGAGAACATTTCAAAACTTAAAAAAATTTAATCTCACCTTGGCCTTCCTCTGACTCTGATAGACCATTCAACGATGCACCTTAGACGGAAAAGAAACCAAATTAACAATAGGTGCTGTCATAACCTAAAGGAAATTTTGCTTTTCGTGATGCAAGAAGCAAAAATAGATTCCTTGGTAAATGCAAAATTCTGAGCGTGCCACGGTCGTGTCGTTCATTTCATTTTTAACTCACAAGGTAATAGTTCAAACACCAAAGACGAATACGGTGCCCCCACCCTCCCCCCGTTTTTTGTGACACGGGTCCTTAACACAAGGCAAACTACTTTGGAATTACACCCTTAAAAATTTGTGAAAGGGAACGAACCCCGAAAAATTGTTCTTTAAAAGTTAAACAAATGCTTGTAAGGAACTATCATAACTAGAGGTCAAGAAAAAAAACTTGTCAAATGAAATGCATTCATTTCTCTCAAATAAATACTTTCATGAGTAGCATTGCTGATACTAGGGACAACGGGCGAGGAAACAGTGTTCCCAAAAATATGCTTTTAATTCTCAAAAAGCATGCAAATGGGCTATTTTCCGATAGCAAATATCGTTGCTTTGGAAAGAAAACCTCTAACTGCAAAAGATGCCGCATTCAATAACTGTCAGTGAGTGCATAAAACTAAAACAAGGCTGAAATCAAAGAAAAACTCTTGAACAAAAAGTACCTGCTAATGAATTGCTTAGTGAACCAAGCCTGGAAAACCTGGGGAAAGTTGCTGACTTTCTTACTGTGTCGCTTTTAGAAGACACATCTGTAGATTCCATGTCGAAGGAGAATGAGGGGCTGCTAAAGAAACGCATCTTATATGTATAGATCAACATAACATGCATCGATACTCAAAAAGATGATAAAAAGCCACCTAAATCTAAGGTTTGGTGAAAGTCCTAGTTCTTCAAAGGAGAGATTTCTTAGGCAAAGATTCAGGAAACCAGTTTATATAAGTGAATACTACCGCTATTAGTGCCTTAAATAAATCTGTATATCACCATTGACTCAAACGCACGCAAAAACATGTCTAGTACATTCCATCGACATGGAGTTTGACAACAGAGGGAGATATACCTATAGCATAACAATTCTTCTGCCCGTGCTCTAGGCCAGGGGAGGGCAATCTATGGCCTGCGGGACAAATCTAGTACGTCAGAACATTTTTAGAGGCCCTCAGACATCCAAAATTAAACATTCAAAGAATTAAAAAGTCTTATGAAAGTGATAGCATGCTCCAAAATATTTCAATCAACGTGAATTATTTCGTATGTCAAATATTGAAGTTCATTCCCAGGTCAAAAGAAGCAGCTTTTCTCGCAAATGAAGTTTATCAGCTAAAAAGTTTCCAAAAATTCAGACAATTGGCATGTATGTAGATGCACGCTTTCTCTGGTGATTTTGGCCTGATTTTGACAAGCCAGCTAGAGGTACCAACCACTAGAAGGAGAGTAGTTACATTGCTAGCATAGGACAGATCTAAATTTTAGCCGTTCCTGGGCCGACCCGCTCTTCCATGGTACAAAATGTTGTAAATTTGGCCCTCATATTGAAAAGGTTACCCGTTCTTGCTCTAGGATATGATGTTGCAAATGTAAAAACTTTCCGAAAGTCAACTTTGAAAAATGACCCTTATCAAAAAATGGTATGCATTAAAAATCTTGCCCTGTAGTAAATGGAGTTGATAGCATAATTGCATAATTGCATAATAATAGATAGGTATCCTAAAACTCACCTTGAAACTTGTCTGTGGCTTTTTGGTGGTGTCGCGTCTGGAGATCTTGGGTTATAATATTTCTCATCATCGGTTTGAGGGAAGAGATTTGCGTGGTTCTTGATGAAGAATTCCATGGACTGTGCGATCATGCTTGAGCTTTCCATCAGCACTTGTGGATTCTCAGACTGGAAATTTGTTTATGTAGTCAGAACAAATTATAGCTAATAGTTTCTACCAAAATCATGAGGGTACTTCGTGAGAAATAAAAATGTAAAAATAAGCCAATTCAATGTGAAGGCAGGTCGTATAACGGAACATATGAGTTTTGTGTTGTAGCTAATCAAGAAAAGCATTACAGATTAAAATTTTCGTATTATAAACATTAATATTAAATTTCAAAACACAGATTAGATCTCGGAGAAAGAGTCGTCCAGAATTCTGCAAAGCTTTGGTAATTATGAATTTAAAACCGTAGCTGTTTATTTGAATCAATCCATAAAACTATTTGTCTATTTCTTTCGCAAACAGGTATGATGATTGCAGTGAAAACCTTATGAAAGGGGAAAAACTTCTCACATCAAATAAGTAGCTCTTTGAAATATTTTCAAAGTTCCTCAGTTGTTTACTTAACTGGCTCTTTCATGAGTTGTTTTTTTGCAAAGGGGATCTAACGCCTTCCGAGCGATGATAATGATTTTCAGGATAATATTTTTATACTCATTAAAAGAACTACAAAAGTATTATCAAAATATAAAAACTATGAAGATGAACAATGTCAGCAATTATACTTGTAAATGTCTATTTGTTCTTTATAGTCTCCTAAAGCTCGAGTTTTAAGTGGTTCGATACATTTCGAATGAAACTCCAGACCTTGGTACAGATAAAAGTGAACTTTTTATCTGAATTAATTACATTTTAAAAAAATTGTAACTCTAGATTATTCCTAGGGCTAACGGAATTAGTGGTTGACATCGACTGCGTCATGGGTCTGACCAGCTTTCATTTTCTGTATCGGTCTTTTAATAAAGTTTCATTTTGTCAAATTTTGACAATTTGAGGATGCTCAACTTCCTCTTTCAAAGGAAAGATTATTTGTCTACGAGTCCATAATTTTGTGCAAAATTGATTTTCTGTCAACATTCCAGTCAGGAAATTTGATGGAGTCCCCTTTAGGTATAGTCAGAATTTACCGACCAGAGCATGCGGTAGACCTGAGCGCAAACCTTACCAAATACTTGATGTTTTTCATCAATCATTTTGCTGGCCATACCAGCTATTTTCTAGAGAAAGATGAACATGAAGTACCACAGGGCCCACAGGGTTTTCAAACCTTGGCGTACATTCAAAATCAAAATCAAAGTACCTTGAATTACTACTTGTATTTATAAAAAACTGAAATCACAATTTTAGTTATTAAGCATAAACTTATACGATATGCTACCGCATGCTTACGTTCTGAGCTCAAGCTACGCCACTGTTTCTAATAGACCGATAAACAGTAATTTTCATTGCAGTAAAACATATTGCAAGTAGTGAACTGGATATACATACATTTGGACTGAGGACGTTAGGCCCAAAAACAACTGCCAAGTTTGCTAAGGTCATTTTTGTTACTTGCTGGTGACCTTGAAATTCGTGCAAAAATCGACTGAAAATCAAATAAGAAACAGATTAGTGTCAATTGTTTCCTAATAAATAACCAAAACGTTTATAAGCATCAACGTACATTTACTAGCTTAAGAATATCTGCATATCACAGGCGTGTATCTTATAAGAAAAACAATCGTGACAGCAATTTATTCAAAGGTGAAGCATAATAGAAAGTTGGCTTTAAAACAAAGGAGATCAAAGCTACAATGCACTAAAGCTTTAAACACTGTGCAGGAGCCTTTGTCCTCCAAATGTTTCATTTAAGTAGATTTCTAAAAATAACCTAATTCACAACCTCGTTTTGAAAAATTCTTCAAACGTCAACGTCTTTGTATTACATTTTGGATTTTAAAGTTAGATCAAAGACAAGAATTTTAGGCTACATGTTAGTTTTCAAGATGCTCCTGATATTGATTTCATGACGAAATAGGGATGAGTATTTTATAAGGGAATTGACCGTTATTGGCCGTATAATGGAGAAATATTTCATCCGGAACGATTTTTGCGGTCAAATCCCTTATAATTTTCAAACCGCAATCGTCAGAAAATCTACAATCTACAAGCACAAACAAATTGAGAAATTCTATCCGGGTTTAAAAAGTATATTTGTTTATCCTAATTGAGCTCGAAAAAAGTCGCACAATGAGGTTTGGAGATAACCACAACTTACACAAGATATTTTCGGTTCAGCCTCTGGTACAAAATAGAACATTGAACTAAAGTTAAACTTTAACTGATATTTGGCCCGTGTCCACCCCACAGTTAATGGAGTTCTTAGGCAATGACGTCACAAAAATCTTCTTTTAGAATTTTTGATTGGATTTCCATAACCTGGAAAAGCGCCATGAAGTACCTCTAAATGTGCAAAATAAGTTAAACGTGTTACGGATTGGCTGAGATATGACCAAATTAAGATAGGCGGTGTACCAATCAAACTTCTGTAACAGAGCCAAAATAAAAGTAACCCGTTAACAAACCACAAATTTTTCATTGGCCAAATCTCACCCGATTTTTGACATATTTAACTAATTTTGCATATTTAAAAGTATTTAATGGCATTCTTATAAATTATGTGATCAAATTTCTAAAAATATATATCTTTTATGACGTCACATTGAAGAACTCTATTGATGTCCGGTACAGCAACAATAGGCACAGACCAAATTCGTCAAAGTATGACGAGTGATCATCTACCGGTAATGGGCAGTATTCGAACCTAATACCACAAAAACAAAAATACGAGACAGGAAACCAAAAAAACCAAGTGTTACTTGCCTTATGTACTTTAAGGTATTCAGACTTGCTTTTGAAATTGACTTTAACACTATGCTGAGTTTTTCCACCTCCGTATCTCGATCATCGTTATAAGCTATGGATGAAATCAATTGAACCTTTGAAATGTGAATTACCGAAATGAAGTTTGAACCTTGACATGCTAAGTAAAAATAGCTAGCAAGTTTTAGGGGTGGAAGAAAGTAAAAGGCACATTTCCTTTAGACGTCTGCAAAACAAAGGTTTTTTGCTACCATATACCAAAAGAAACAGAACTGTTAATGCCTGTAGAATTTAAACAACATGGTGTGCATTAGACCTTTGTCAATAATACAAACAAGTCAAGATGAAAAAATGGCATGATAGCTGCATGTTCTCAAAAATCATAATAACTTGGTAAAGAACTACCGTAACTGTAGCATAAAATGTTATAGGCTTAGAAAGGAAGCTGAAGTTAGCCTCGTTGTGAATTCGGGACTATTTTACTTCGATTACATAGGCAAGAGTGAGAAATGATAGCATCAACTAATGATTACAAATTCACAATCCTTTTTGCAGTTGAATCTCAACTTTAACTGGCAAAATAAGGAGAGCTTACTAAACTTTTCTTTGAAAAGGTCTGTCATAGGTTCATCATATAGCCAGGACCACAAAGAACTTTGATTTACTTAACTATACTACGTAAAAAGGTTTTCTGCAATACATGCACCTAAATTTATACAGAACTTCGCACTGGCAGCTACCGGCATGTCTATTTATTTTCTTGAACAATATAGCTTGTATTCAATGATTTTGTTTCCAGGGAGAAAGTTCACTTACTGCAGACAATGCTTGTACATTTGTCGTAGAAACTAAATGGAATAACAGGTTCTGGAAGACTTCTTAAGTAGGCCTTTAGTAACGAAGCTATTGTATGAATGCCATGTCTTTCAGACACCAAGTCTACTATCTCGCCTAAAATACAAAAAATGAAATTCTATACTCGGCTAAAAGAAGTGAAATAATAGAACTGCTGGAAAGATCTTAGGAAAACGCAGGGCCTCAATTTTACCTCACAAAGAAAGCATATACAGGCAAATGTTTATAATATAGGCAAACGTCATTAAAGTCACGAAACAGCATCTTTCGAAACCATATTTATAAGCTACAGTTTTCTAGCAATGTTAAAAGGAGAGAGGTGGGATTGCTGAATACCATGTATAAATTGCTCAAAGCCTATTCTCAATAAAGTTCGTAAGTGGTGACGTCACAAAATATACTTTTTGAGTATCATGGAATACCTCAAAATGTGTAGAATAAGTTAAATGAATTGGCTGAGATACGGCCACAGAAGCACAGGCTCTATTTTCATCAAACCTCTGTTATTTCGTCTTTTTTCATAACAAAGAAAAGAGCCAAAGTAACAGTAACCCGTTAGCAAACTTTCATTGCCCATATCTCGACCAATTTTTGACATATTTATTCAACTGACTTTGCCATTTTAGAAGAATTTCACGGCGATCTTTTATGTTTTGTGGATAGAATTCTACATTTCTAAAAAAGTTATTTGTGACGTCACAGTTAAGCAAGCACATTATGATTGTAGATATCACACAAAACATCAGCGTTAAACACGTATGCTAGTGAATATCAATAAATGTCACTGCGACATAGCTAGTTGTACATTCTACTCCATTTTGAACTGTCTAGTAACTAGCTTTGTAGAAAAGAAGCAGTTACCTGTGAAAATAGAATATATTTATCTATACCTTTATTGAATCTATTTAATAAGTCATCAACCTCTTGCACATTTCCACTCAAACGAAAAACACCTTCCTCAAGAGGCTCTGGGAATAGAAAGAACACAAGCTTCAATCGAAAATAAAAATATAATGAAATAAGAGAAAAGTTGCATACGAAGATCATAGAACGAGTTAGGGTTTTAGTGGTGTTATTTCTGCTACAAAAATCAGGTCAAACATAAAGATAACACTAGAACGGGAAGTGAAATTTGAACTTACAGTATTGTTAGCTGAGTTATTCTCATTTAAATGTAAATGCAAGTATAAGTACAGGGAAAATAATTTTGCTATTGAATACCAATGAGCAATACACTGGAACAAGCTGAATTTTTGGTCAACTATAACATAAGGCCAGTGCCAAAAAACTGTTCCCTAAATTACCCAAATAAAGAGTTACAACAAAAAATAGAAGTTTGCATAACTGGGGGTGCTGTGGCATCATATGTTTAAAAAATTACAAGGAAAATATTGAAAAATTGATGACAAAGACAGAAATAAAAAAAGAAATGATTGCAAACTACAGTACAAGCTAATTTGCGTTATATGGACAAATAAAGAGAAACAGGTTTAATTTAATACATTGAAAAACTACAATTATTGCAGCAAATATTTAACCCTTACTCAGTTAGAATAAAAAGCCAAAATAAAAAGTTATATGAGTATCAGTCAAGTAGAATGGGTGGCTGGCAAAATGAGTAGCAGAATGGGTGGATTGAATCAAAGTGGGCTATTTTCGGAAAATACAGTTTGTTAAAGGGAAATTTAATATCACATTTTAAGCAAACTATAATTTTAACACCATATTATGATAGCATACTCAGGGCTGGAAATTTTGAGCATTTAAGGAAACGTGCTATTGTTGCGTTAATTGACAAGTTACGGAATTGACAGATCCATGTTTCGTTGCCGTCATTCTCAACCTGCGGTTTTCCTATTGGTCAACGTTATTTTCCCACTGTGATAAGGACAGAATAAAACTATTGAAAACATCTTGCAAATTCTTGTTTAATTCTCTTTTCTGTTTAAATCTAACTTTTGCCACAAATCGAACTAAATATAAACATAAATCGCTGATCATAAGATTTACAGCTCAATTTTTTCTCATTGATTCATAATACACTCCCCTCACGAAAGTATCTGGACAGTTTCAAATTTGGTTCTGAATCTGTTGTTAGAGAAATTTGTTTACAAATTTTAAAAGCAGTTTCCATGAAAACGTTTTTATCAATTTTCTCGAATTTTTTCTTGAAGTTTTTTGGCCTTTAATCTATTCACTCGTCGAAAAAAAATAATCTTATCGATATGCAAGCAAACTCTGTGAGGGTTTTTCCTCAAGATGGTAGCGACCGAAGCAAAAGAATTAACTTCTGAGCAGCGTCTAGAAATAATGTTTTATCACAATGATGGGAAAAAGCAAATGAGAGTAAACACGTTGTATTTCTCTTTATTCGAAAATATTCATGTCTCAAGAACCAGTTTGTAAAAAACATCATCTGTTTTATTGGCCCATTTTAACTGAGTCCAAGTCACCTGACTTTGTTGTTCTCCGCATATTTGACATACGTTGATTTATGTAAGGCTTGTGGAGCAAAGTTTTCTCATTTTAACCAAAAATGATAACGGATAAAAAGGGCAGAAGTTTAGGAGCATTTTAATTTTCTCGTTTATTTTGGAAGGATTTCTCAAAGAATTATTATCACTATGGTAAAAAGTCGTTTTCGCCAGCATAAATTTGTTTTTGTCTGAAAGTGGAATCGATCTTCAAATCAATAAAATCCTAACGCTTAATCGTTGCCTTTATTTTGTGTTTGTGGAAACACAACAGCTGGGAAAAAAGCGTTTCCACCAAATTTCCAGCCCATGGTACTTGTTAGATAGTTAGGGGGAACAAGCCATTGGCACTTAATGGACAAAATACCTTTGTAGAGAATAAAACGGCTAACTTACCATAGTTTCTAACATATTCTACACATTTTTCGATGATAATAGGCACCATTCCACCACCTCTTCTTGAATCAACCTTTACTGTATCTTCAATTGATCTTCCAAACATTCCTCCACCAAACGGCTATAACATTATCAGTGAAAAAAATCTAAAGTTACTAAAGATCCTTGCTTGAGTACTAAATATCATGACAGCTAATGATACAATCTTTGTAATTATTAATGAGGCAAAATATGTTTTCTACCAATTCTACAAAAAGTCTAGGACCCATGTGCCTGGGACCAATCATCAATTAAGCATGTGCATTACTAGTGACATGGTCAACCTTAAAACACTTTATTTATATATAAACATAGTTTCCTCTCTACTTTGATAGACTACTAAATTAAAAAAGGCTGAATTGCATCTATAATGAAACAGCAAAAGTACAAATAAAGATGCCTTTTGCATATTTCTGCTGTCTCCAAAAGTAAATTAGGCTTGACACTAACTGTATAAATTATTATATTTATAGCTTTCATCCATTGCTCTAGATCCTTTTGAGATGAAGCAATAAACAGATATGATTCATGGGTGTCGGTGACAGGCTTTCCAATACGTTGTTCACCAGCTAAAACATTAAAGAACATCAAACTAATATTGAATAAAAGCTAATTTAATAAACAATATCTAATATTCAAACATATCCTCTTTTAATATAGGTTGCCATTCAAATAATGTAGAAAACAGAGAAATCAAAGGAATTGTAACACATTTTGGATATTTTCTTTATCATTAGTAAGTATTAAAAGTTATGACATAACATGGTATTTATTATATTTTATGCATATCAAAATTAAAAATTAAATTGAATTTAAAACTTTCATTGCCTAGTTATGGGATATTCAGAATATAACAATTCATCTTTCATTATTTAGCAGTCACAAAATCCTTCAGGAAAATCAAAGCATTGAATTATTTTGATGCATGTGGTGGACCTTAAACAGAGTGGAAAAGGGCCAAACTCATTAAACAGAGGAAATGTTAGAAATTTTATTTTTGCCACAAATTCAAGTGAGCACATGAACTTTTAAAACTTTGAAATTGGTATGAAAAATAAAAGCGAAACAGATTAAAAATATACTAAAAACTGAAGAGATAAAAAAGAACATACAAACAATTTCAAATTGAAACTGATGAGTTCCATCTCCTGTCCGTCTTTCAACACGATTCCCTGCCAGTGGTATTCCAGCAATTGGTTTAGAATCCTATAAAAAACAAAAAATTGGATAACCATTTTGCTTCAATATTGTAATAATAATAATAAAATAATGATAAATGCACTTATATTGTTCCATATATCCCCAGCGGTCATAGGCACATTCCAATTTGAAACAAGTCTCACCATCAAAATATGCTAAAAGATACCTTAAAAGGCTAAAACTAAAATATATTTTTCTACTTTTATCTAACCTAGAAAATTTTTCATAACTTATACAAGAAAGAATCTGATCAAGCTGTTGAAAAGATTGGCAGCAACATAATTTTTCCTTGTCTTTTTAAAAACTACCTTAAGCTTGAATATATTCAGGCACAAGATTGTCTTAAATTTTGATTTTAGCACAAAAGGAAAGTCAGCATGTGTCAGTAATGTGACTGTAGCAGATTGACAGCCATGCAGTTTGTTTCATCAAAACATCTCCAGAATTCACACATGGATAACACTCATTATCCTAAATGTCTGCTTTTATGTGTTCATGTTTTATATGCCCTTTGAGTGGGCCTTTCCCAAAGTGTAACATAGGCCACATCCTGTACCAAAAATAAGCAGCATGCGTGAAAAAGATGTGGCCAAAAAGGTGTGTGTTTATATTATTTCATTAATAGGCTAGCTATATTTGCTTTTCAAGTATACAGCTTCAAAGATCATTCAACTTCTCGTTCCACTTGCACTAAGCCAGAACCATAAAAATATTGCAACCTGGAAAAGCCATAAATATATAAGCTTTTCCGGTAGAAAATCACTGGAAAAATAACTAATCTTCAAACTTGCGATCTTGTATCCTATTGAATTTAGCCCCCTAATAAACTCCAAAATGTACTTAAAACCATATAAAAATCACCCTGCCTTTGCTTTTTAGCATGTTTAACCTGTCCAAAACATTTCAAGCCCTCTCAATCTGTAATATGCTCTGCCACCCTTTTCTACAATAATCATCTTTCCATTATAATCATTTTTTTTATTTTTTCTGTATAAATATGTTTGTCCTGCTTTCAGCTCATTCTCAAACATTATTTTAAGTTACAGTTTTACAGCCTAAGCGCAAATTGCAAACTTTTGCTGAAATCAAGCAATAGCTATCATCTCATAGGAAAATTGAGTGTTATCCCAAACCTCAATTTTACTTTATCTTTTCCACTTTCTCCAAAATAGACACACAACTGTACAGCTTCATCAAAGAAAAATCGTTTGAAAATAAACCTACCCCTTTAGATCGAAAATAGTAAAGCTGGTCTCCTTTTATCTCAAACCATCTTCTTTTTATTGTTCTTGGCCACTGGCCACCAGTTTTTGATAACCATCCACAGTGTAGCTGAACAGAAATCAGAAAAATTATTCTTTAAATAAGAAATAGTGTTTAAATAAGAAAAGCAGTCATAAATTACAACTATTTATATCAACCACACAGCTGTAGATATTGGCCGAGGTTGTTAAATTCAAGCAATAAGCCATACCTCTAAAGAAGGCAAAGTTTCGAAAATAAATGAAGTGTTTTTGGCAATAAATCGAGCTGACGAGGCTATGAGCCCATAACAGAACATACTAACTACAAAATATTAAAAGAAGCTGAAAGATTTGCCTAGTCACCTTTAAGTGAAATTCCTTGAGCAGCTATTTTACATTTTCCAGCAAAAACTTACATACATTTCCGGTTCCTTGTTCTTGCTGTGGCTGAGAGTTTCAGGCTTAAAAATATTGCACCCCCTTTCCAAATTTTCTTTTGCCAATTAGGTAACCTTCAAAATGTGGGTAGGGATGTGGGTAGGTGCATTCAATACAATTTGTAGTTATTGAGAGGGGTTTCAAGTTATTCAAACAACTGAAAATTATTCAAATTCTTTCAAAGAGATGTTGGTTCATCATCTTTATATTTGGCATGGCTGTGCCAAATTTTTCTGCCATGCTTGTAGACCTGCCTTTACCATTCTGGCATGTGTATGCCATTGCATACCTGCATGAGATATTTTCTATTCCAGATAATATAGACACCTTTGCAAATAGATGAATGTGTCTTGTCCCAACAAGACCAATTAAAATAATTCAATTCAGTCTAAAATATGAATTGATGTTTGCTGTAAATGGGCCTGACTCAGCGGCACCTACCCTGGATATGTTGCCAGGGCAGCTGCCCCTCTTGCCTTCTTCCAGGATGGGGCAGAGGGGGCAATCAGTGCAGTATTCATTTCTAAGAAAGGTTTATAGCCAATTTCACTATGTTAATTCCCATTAGAAATTCAATAAAATAGAAAAATATCACTTTTCACAAAAATTCAAAATAATGAAAGGGCCATTTAATACCCATTTGGATGGAGATTTTGTCAGCATTATGCCTTTGTTTAGAGTCTTTGCTTGCAAAAATCCCAGCTATATGGCTGGAACAGATCCATGCCAGTATTTAATTTTGCAACCATCCCCCAACTGCTCAGAAATTAGGAGCTTGTGTCTCTAAATTTGCATTCTTGTTGGAAAGTTTTTGCTTCAAAACCCTGATTCATAGACCCCATCAATATTAGTAGTATTTTGAAGCTGGAGGTACATATGTAGAAAATGGTATTTTTCGAAATATTTTAAGAGAACACTATACTGGGTGACACATTTCTGTGAACCCATTTATACATTTTGAAAAAAATTATTTGAATGTAAACAGAAGCATTCCCTCCAGATCAGTTTTTCAACAGCAAAGTTACTTTTCTAGAGTTAGGCAAATCCAAAAGGTCAATTTAAACATATCAGAATACTGATGAATAACGGAAATAAGCCAAAGTCTTTGCAAAGGTCCAATTGTGAAATCTGAATCTGATTCGTGCAAAGAGCTCTGCTGCAGTAGTCCAGCAATCCAGTAAAATACTTTGCTTGTCATCAATCAAAATAGGGTTTTTAAAGCCCACAAAAACTTCATAATAAGTCAAATTATACACGTCTGTTTATAGATTCTCATTTAAGTAAGCATCGTATCAAAAATTGATACTCGGCGGCGATTGATGACAGTAAAATTGCATCAACACGGCCGACAAAGCACAGGACGCGATTTAGGAAGGCACGCTCCGGTACTTTCGATCGATTAACCAGAAGAACAGGAGAAAACACTGAAAACGGAGGAAAACTTACTGTTTTTTGGTGCTGAAGAGTGCTTCTACATGACATTGCTCGGCGCAGTTTGCAATTTATTATTGATCTTCCAAGGACCTGGATTCGCAGCGAATTTCCTTTTTCATGAGCTGCTGTTTCTCTCTCACCAGGACCAACTCGAGAACGAGACTCGTCTACCGAAAATCTTCGCCCGACGACCGAGAAGGTTCTCATAATTCGATCATCGGTCTTCAACGACACATTCCAAGACGCTCTATTTGTATCCATTGATAGCATAGCTGATATAAAGAACCAAATTATTCCCTTGGACTTACCTTCCCATGTTCACTGTAGTTCTACTGTAGTTCGAAGGCCATCTAGCATGTTTCCCTTGGGTTTCCGTAAAACCACAAGGTGTGGCATCCCACAACTTCTGCTATGTTTTGACCGTTAACATTCGCTGATCGTGACGCATCAATCCCTTCTATTTACAAATTTCGAAACAGTGCAACACTGAATCAACACTGATGGGAAATGTGTCATAAATTTTAATGCTTTATTCGATTAATAAACAGAGTCTTTCCCTTTCCCAGAAGTCACCGATTTCCATAGAAATAAAACATTTTCCTGTGCATCAAGCTATACTCTATTTAATAATAATACAATATTTTTTTCTCTACCTTTGATATTCTAGAGAAACTTTCCTTTTGAGCCTAAATATATTTTTAAAGTATAATAATTTTATAAATCTGATATAGTTTTAAAAGGGCACGTCGCCCGCGCTTGAAAAACCCGACGTTTTTTTAAAAACGAGACATGTCAGATTCTGTGGTTCCCTTTAATGGAACAGCAACTGCTGATAAGTGAGACACAAACATGTGAGCGGAGGTTGAGCAATATCATTTTAATATTCTTGAAATTTGGATAAATCTGAGTCTGAATTTTCCTATAAATATTCTTTTAAAAAAGAGTGTAGATGGAGCTTCTGGACTGATTTCGAAAAAATACTTTCATTTGCGATTATACCTTCGATCCTATATCATTGTACTATTATCTGCCTTGGCAACCTAAAGGACAGTTTGGAATGCAGTTTTATTCAGGAAGATCCAATGTTGTGGAATATTTTCAAAGGGGAAAAATCGATCAAGCCCATTAATTGAATTGTTTTTTAACCATCGTACAAATCGTTACGTAAATGACTGCCAAAATAATGCAGCGAAATGTACCAAAAGACTTTGATTTTTATTAAATTGCTTTTTTGACTGCGAATCACGATTGTAACTAATTTGGCTGTACGCTGTATTTTGTTTGGCCTGAGTTTTTCGTTTCTCCCCTCAAATGTTTCTTTGGCCTGAGTTTTTTGTTTTACCCCTCAAATGTTCTTGACCGAACTGATCTTGGGTTTTTGTTTAATAGATATTATATTATTAGTAGATGTATATCCACGTAGAGACCATTGGCTACAGTGAGCGTTTTTTGCTTACATATCCCCCTCCATTTTTCATTGCTTCCCACTAGAAATGGTGCATCTTATGAATCCACGAGACTTCATGTGCAAAAAATGGAAAATACGCATGCACCGTGGGGGGAGGTGAGTTTTTAGCTAAATTTGGGTAGGGTTCAGCCATGAGCACATTCAAAGTGGTACCGTTGGCTAGAATAATATTTAAGAAAATGTTACTCTTAGCTAAACCAATGGCTAGATTCATTTCTAAGCCATTCGAGTATCTCAAAATTTTTAGTCTAAACTCAGAAATGTCAAAGGTCGAATTGTTTTACTTTCTAGTATATTATGAAAAAGATGGGTTGCCAGGAAGAAATTCCTATTTTCAAAGGCCTTACCCTAGACTAATTTTGCCAAATATGATACGCCTTGCTAGACATTAGCTTGACCAAAGGAACAAAAAAGTATTCCCTTGGCTAGACAAGAAGTATACCCTTTGATTTTTACACATTCATTTTATACTTCAGCTTGAAAGTTTAAGACTGCCTATTCAGTCACAAAGCGTAGGTGAAGCGCTCGTACTTTTACAGAATGTTGACAAGTAACAAAATAGGTCTCGAAAATAAACTTGAGGTTTTCCTGAAAGCTCCAACCGTACGGAAAGTTGGATTGGTAAACTGAGTTTCGACAATTAAGAGAAAGTTCCTGCTTATGAGAATTGTAGTTTTGAAATTGATCGCTGATACCAAGATGATAAACGCCTATTTCATCTGTTTCGAAATAGTTTGAAAACAACAATTTTGTAACAGTTCTCAAGAAGCATTTTTTGTAACGAAACCCTTTGCAAATGGCTTATCCTAAGTATTATCCTAAGAAGCAGGGTCGCACTGGAAATTGATCTTTTTGGAGGGGGGAGGGCGCAGCGCCTATGTTTTTCCGATAAGCTAGCGGCATTTCATAAATTTTCTGAAAAATATGGTTTTCTAGGGGGCTGTATCAGGGTCCACGCCGTCAGTGTCCACACCACCGGAGGGCTGGGGTGGCCATGCCCCCCGATTTTGCGAAGCAAATAGTTTTAAAGCTGCAGTAAAAGGGGAAAGATGTCTTGGCCCCCTAAATTTGCTGACTTGGCCCCCACTTTCTAATTCGTGGCGTGGGCCCTGCCTGTCCCCTGTCCTTAGCCATTACATCCCTGCTAAAAAGCTTTGTAATTTGATGCCATAATTTGTTGTTCAGACTTTATGAATTTAAGTAATGTTTTTGTGCAAATGTCAAGACTTGCATACTTTGGAATACTCTGGATCCAAATACTTCATATACACAGGATTCGAGCCATTCTTTAAAACTTTTGTGGATTTCACTTGTAATTTTTCTATAGGCACACGTTTTCTTATTGGCTTTTTCGATCCGAAAATGGTTACACATTTTCCAGCTTGATATTTCGACCCTGATCTGACGTTTGTACTCTGAGGAGTGTCAGACGAAAGGTTGAGTTTCTTGTAAAATGTGGACTTATTCAAAGCCATTTTCGAATTCATAAATATATTATCTTATTTATCTTTACAACCAATGACTCTTGATAACCTTTTAATGATTGCCTTATTGCAATCAGCCTTTTCAACATATCTTTCTAATGTGCGTATCCAATTTTGATACTTAATCTATCAATACACCAAATAGATGACAAACAATTGATAAACAGTCAAAATCATTTAGACGTAAGATTGATAACAGTCATATATGAACTGAAAGATTCCATAAATATACTAGATTGCGAGCGGTACAATATAATGCTATAATTAATAACGATGAATGTAAGTAAATTGTACCAAGAATTTTTTTTTTTGAATTAATAGAGACGTTTCGAGCATAGCCCGTTATCAAGTGGGTATCGTTATCTTGATTTAGGGCTATGCTTGAAACGTCGTTATTTATTTAAAAAAATTTTTCCTGGTACAATTTACTTACATTCATCGTTATTATATATGAACTGAATGTGTCAAAGTATCTGTTTTTGCCTACTTAAAGTATAAGCACCTAAATAAACTCAAGTCACATAAAGACCTCACACTGATTGTAAAGAAAATGTCGTTCATGAAAGAACTGAGCCCTGAGATAATCTTTGATTTAGGGAACCCATGCATAAAAAACCAAATAGATTTACTGTTTGTTTTCCGTCTGTGAGACAATTTTGTACAAGCTTAATTAAAAGACGTCACATTGACAACAAAGGACCAAAGGCTTTTAATTTTGCAAGGATTAGGTCTGTTGCAGTGTGCTTCTCCTGCTTTAAAGCCTTTTTGTCAGTCTTCTATGTGTCTTCTTAATGCTTGCTGGAATAAAATCACTTAAATAAAGTTTTAATTTACTGACATCAAAGTTGAAACAATTTGCTAAAAACTGCTGTTTAAATAAGTGTGTCTCCAAACGAGATTTAAAAGTTTCTAAAGTATTACATGCCCTAACTGAGTAGGGGACTCTGTTCAAAGAGAAAAAAGGGAACATTTATGAAAGCACGATCACCAGCCATAACAAATTTGATCTTTCCTACTAATAATGGTTCATCGCCAGTAGATCAAATCCCAGGAGAGGCCTTACGAAAATGAAATACTCTCAAAGATAGTTCGGAACTTAAGCTTTAAACACTCTAGGTTAACATGAGTATTGTGTATTGTATCCTGCTTGTAATCGGTAACCAATGAAGTATCTTCAGTACTGGTGTGATGTGACAACGTCTGCGACCACCCGTTAACATTCATGCAGCAGCGTTCTGGAACTTCTTTAACTTTCGTAATTTACATGAAGGTAACCTAAATAACAGAAAATTTTTATAGTCAAGCCTTGACATGAAAAGGTGCTTTCTCTGCAACTTTCTTGGTAAGGTATCTTTGAGCAAGGCCAGTGGCGTACCCAAAGGGGGAATAGGGGGGTCCGGACCCCCCCCCCCCCACTTTTCTAAAATATGATCCTCGAGATTTGTCCAAAAACGATGCAAAACTCATTTGGGGGGGGGGTGTAGTATACTGTATGCTTGTGTCAATAACAATTGTAAAATACTTTGCTATTTACTGTAGCTAACATGAATTAAATTACGGGGAGAAATTTTGCAAAAAGGGCGTTTACCCGTAATTGCGAGTGTCTGAAGGGCGTGGTCAAAAAAATTATGGGGCTATGCCCCAGACCCCCCCAAAGTTACAACCCTGGTTACGCCACTGAGCAAGGCAAAAGATGTGTGAATGATATCTAGCTGATTTGCACAACGCGTTCACATGTGATTTCAGTGTCAAAGTGGTACCAAAAACAACACCAAGATTCTTACTGCCACCAACATCAATGGATACATTTGATGAGAGTTTCTTGCATTGTACTCTAGTACCAGTAACCAACATTTCAGCTTTGTCTCCATTAAGCTTACGCCTGTTTATGAGCATCCATGTTTCAATTTCTTTGATACATTTTTCAATATTTGATATGGAGGTGGATGTTGTATTATTTGGTATAAATGACATGTGGATTTAAGTATCAGCATAGGTGTGATGAAATTGTAGTCCTTTCTTTTGCATTACATCTACTAGAGGCAATGCATAGACCAGGAACAACAATGGCCCCAATACTGAACCTTGAGGAACACCGATGACAGGTTTTTTTTATTGAAGTAACATATTTCACTTTAACCTTTTGCAGACGATCAGTTAGATAAGACTCAAACCATTTCAACAGTGCATATTCTATCTTCATTATATCTTCTCAGGAGCAAACGATGATTTAGCTACAGTATCAGAAGCAGCCGAGAGGTCAAGTAATACAAGAATTGAAACCTTTTGATTCAGGGCCTAAAATAAGCGTGGATCTGACTCAATTTGTGGAGTTGTAAATTAAAATTGTAGAACTGTAATTGTAGAAAGTGTGAATTTGTAAAAAGTGCATGTTCTTAAAAGTGCAGCATTAAATACCAAAATACCATTTTTACGAGGTCCCCTAGACCTCAAGGACCTGGGGAAATTTGCCTCATTGCTCCTCCTCTCGACGGTCCTGCCCACAGGGGCTTCCAATACCTCCAGGATCAGCGTTCAGAGTTTTTCAACAAACTTTGACTTTTCTTCAAACTTTAGGTGGAAATTGTGTGGCTTTGGATAAGCTCTAGAACCTAAGATCTAAAACCTAGCAGACAACTAGGAGATAATGAAAAATCATTATCTTGCTGAAATGTATAAAAATATATCTCTATCAATTCGGCAAAGCTATGTACTATGCGCAAGTGAAGAAGTTGAGAAGAATCAAGTTTGCACTTTTTATAGGGGAAACAAACATACAAAGGCAATTGGCCAATAATCTATTGACGGACTACTTTCAATGGCGAGTCAGCAACCGCGGAGCGTTGAGAATAATTGGGAGTGGATTAAAGCCGAAAAAGGGGTTTGAATGCTGGTTCAATCTAGATTCCTTACGTTTTGACAAAATCTATAGGGCCTATAGCCCTCCCCAGCTCTTTTGCTCCGCGTTGCCTAATGATGAACCATTTGCACCACCACCAGTTCCTTTTGTAGCGTAGCGAGGGGGAGGGGGCAAGGGGCTCTCCCCAAAGCTCAGGAAGTTGGTCCTAATAAAATTAGTACCTCAAGGAGGGAGGTTGATCTTTCAAACAAAGTTAAAACGTTTTAAACGACTGCAAGCCAACGACTGTAAGAAGTATTTTGAAATGTATTCTTAAGGGCGTGGTCGATGTCGGACTCCTCTTTGCCCATCCAAACCTCCAACCCTGGTTGCGCCACTGAGTACCTAAGCCCATGTTAACAAGTTTGTTCCCTTACTGTACAATACTTAATGGAAAAGATTATTTTTGTTTGCCGTTATTAGAGGAAACAATGTTTAAAGGATAAGTAACCTATGCAAATTTCCATTATGATACTGCCTTTGATAAGGCCACAAAGAATATTGGAGCGTTAGGAATGCAAATAAATCTCACAAAAGAATCCAGATAATGAATAAACTTTCCATCATTTTTACCTTGTGGATCAGTCATTTTTCGGAAGGTCAAGCCCATTCGTCAGAAAATTTCTGGAACGATCCTTTAGACATGGGCTCCGACGCAGGTTGGAAAGTGGAGGGGCCAAGAGAAATATAACAATCACAACAAAAGTTTTTAAAAAAAGCTTTATTGTTTTGCAAAAAATTGAGGGGGCCATGGTCCCTCCGGCCCCCCTTCGTCGGAGGCCCTGTTAGATATGTTTCGAGCCAACCTCTGCCACACCTACAGCAAGGCACTAAATTTCTATTTAAAATCTGTTTGAGAGGCTATTTCAAGGTCATTGAGGCCAAAAACAAATCATAGCTGATAGGTTAATTACAAAAGGCGTTAACTATACTCAATATTTTTCACAAGAAACAAAGATCGACTTTGAGTACACCTGTTTCTAAAAACTTTCAATGCTTATTGTTTCTTATTTAAGCCTTCTGGAACCTATATTCAAATTTTCAATGCTAGACAATGGTCGATGTGTCTATCATTTTCAAATGTAATGACATTTTTGTTTTGATTTGTTTACATTCTTAAATTGGAACACTAACGTAGGTTTTCAAATGCAAATTCAGATTTCCCTCTCCTCCTAGGAATAATGTTGATTTACTATAGAAAAATGAGAGGGGTTATGGATTATGCTTTTTCTTGTAGCTTGTTCGAAATTTTCCTTTACTTTAAACATTGTTTTGGGGGAAAGGGGGACGGAAGTAGTATTCTTCGGGAGAGCAAATGGAAAATAGAAAAGCACAACGCAAAATGTTGGGTATTCCAAATAATTTTGGCGGTGATTGTGTAGCTAACTGGATTTGAATACATACTATTTTGCGTTGTTTCTGGGACAAAACAATTCCCTTTGCTGTTGTATTCAGCACATCCAGCTGGACAAGCCATTGCAAGACGTCCGGCTGATATTCATATAGATAAATTTTTGATTTACACGTCATTATGATATGAATTCAAACTTTCCTGTTTCATAGTATTTTTACTACAAGCCCCTGCAGGATATTGATCATACTTCAAACCTTTCCCTTGCACGTGAATAAAAAATAAGCCAATCAATGTCAAGTATTAGATGAGAAGAAACGACCCCCATTGGTCAAAACAATGTTGTTGCACGTGATATTCTGAATAACCTTTACACTTACAAGGGCTGCCATTTTGAATGTATTCACCTTTGACTTAATGGATTTCGGCCAAAGAATTTGATTTAAAACTACCAAACGCTGTAACATTCTGTTGGACTGTCACTTAAGTTAAACGGCAGCGACGAAGAAGTTTGATGAATTGTAGAAACTCCGTCTCTGTCCACCTGTTTGCAGGAGGGTAAGGCAAATGCATTTTATCAACGTGGTTCCTTACCGCCGTGTTGTGGCGCACGGCTTTACAAATAGGCCAATTCAAATTTAATGCCTCACACAACGCATTTATCATATCAGTACATGGTTTCTCGTATGATTTGGCCTTAAATGAGTAAAAGTCGAAACTATTGAGCGGTAATTTACCGATGAATTATCTAACCCGGGGTTTATGGTGTCGAGCTTGTTTGCCTGGACTGATGTTATTTGCCTATTTGTCTCGCGGATGGGCAAGGCAAGGCTCATCATGCCAGCCCTTCCACAGATGGAAAGCGATACTAGAAATTAGTAGCTCAAATGTGTAACAATTATGATAAACTGTTTAAAATAATTACTGCATTCTATATATTATCCTAAGTTATTGCGGTGGACTAATTTACGCAGTTTTTGAAGGTATCATTACAAATACAGTTTATTCGAAGTTTCTAGCTACCTTTTACGGTAATTAGTGACATTTATATCAACCATATACTTTCGTTTTTGGTATCAAAGTGTGGTCTTTTGTAAACAATAACGATTAGCAGTGAAGGGGAGGGATATTATAGATGCTTTTACTTCAGTCTAATGTTTGCGCCTGCGGCCCAAAAACAAGGAACGTTTCACGTTTCACGACTGCACGTACATTAAAAGGGGTTCGTGCAGGCTATCTTCGAAGCCTACAATTGAAAATTTGCTCATGAGAATGTTCGGCAAACGCGACAGGAAGGGACATAGCAGTTACTATACTTAAGAATTACCTAATCGCACTTATTACTGATATGAAACAAAGGAAATGCTTCCAAAAAGACAACAAACTGTAAACAACAATAAATGTAAAAAACAACAGCTTGCCAATCTTTGTAGCAGCATCCTCAGGTGTGAATTGTGGGTTCATACCAACTGGATAAAGAATTCTAAGAAAAGTTTGTTTCTTTGTAAAGCTATCTTTGTCACAAACATAAAGTGTTTACTTTTGTGCTGTTTATTTCTGAACCTCAAGCTTTATGGATACTTGACTCAAAATTCAAATATATATGGGACATTTGAGCCAAAATAATTTGACAACATTCAATTTGACAAAATTAAGGAACTGGTGTTAAAAATGCAAAAAAATTGAAGAAAATTGCAAATAATGTTCTGAACTTGTGCTGTATTTTGTAACTTTTGCCACGGTTTTTGTCTGCTATTTGGGTAAATCAGTGGTAATTGAATGTTAATAATTGTTTATTTTGATTTTAGAGCTGGAGGAACTGTTGCTGCAGTTGTAACATGTCCACTAGAAGTTGTGAAAACTAGGCTTCAGGTAATATATCTTCTAGACCAGTGATTTATACAAGTTGGTCCATTTAAGAAGCAATTAGGTTTATTTCAGCATATGATACCAATTTTGTTGAAAATAAAAACAACATCAGCAGGATGATTATCAACCTCTTTTAAACAAATTTTCAAAAATCTGAAAAGAACATTTGATTTGTTTTTTGAATATGATAACAGTTATGATAAGAGATCTTTCCTCTGATATTCTAGCCTCATAAAAAGACTATGTGGCAACATGAACATGCCCTTATGATTGTTTTCTACAGCATATCAATTAAATCAAAGGGCTTCCTCTAGTGGGTGTAATTATAACAGGTTTTTTCTCTGCCTGACTAGCAGCTGGAGCCTTTGGCTAACTAGCTACCCTGCAATTATGATAGCAGACTGGCAGTGCTTTTAGCTTCTGTTTTGTCCTTTTGGCATTATAATGTCAATTCAAAGATTTGTACTGATTTGATGGGTTTCACTAGAAAATATTCATATATTTGTCCATATTAAATTATGTTGCAACTTGGTACTTTTCCCTGTCAGTTAAAGGTAATCCATGTGGTTTTTTAATAAGCTTTTTATTTTAATAAACTTCATGTCTTTGATTAGCTAATGATAATTTTATTGTGGTGTCACAAATTTCTGTATGTTTTGTTTTAAAGGCATCCTCACAAGTTTTTCAACCAGTCAGGGTTGCTTCAACTCTTATGAGTGCAAATGTAGCAACTTTGCATTCATCCTATCATGCTCCTGTTATAACGTCAAGGCCATCTGGTATTTTAGCATGCCTAAGGTAAGAGATGCTTGTTTATGTCTAGTTTCTCATCAAGATCACCCAGTTTATCAAAATTGTGCATGTCTGAGAATTATTTCAGTGTCCCTTGAAGATGTCTAACTGCTTGAGCGGCCAACACGCTCAGCCCCAAAAATCAATGTTGGAGAACATCATTAAGCATACAAACAAATATTCATGTATTAAATACAGCTGTGTTAAAATTTAGCTTGATACATGAGTTATATTTATATACAGATAATCGAGTACCTACAAGTACTATTGGTTCTAGTTTTACTTTTGTATTTTCCTTCATCTAGTGTTTTGTGTTACAGCTATATCAACACATTTACAATTATAGATTACAATTACACCAACCCACACATAGTAGTAGTTTTAACTTTAGACTCATTTTGTTCAATGGAACCCTTAAACTTGCCTGGAAAATATACAGTTTCCATGTGAATATCATTTTCTATTCCAACATTATCTGTTAACGGTTGATTGCACCTAAGTTCAATGTCTCTAAGTGATCATCATGGTACTGAGTTATTATCCAGCAGACACTAAACTTCAGTCAATCAGGCCTTTCAAGGAGAGGTGCTGGTGCTCGATCAAGGGCCTCCAGATGCCCCTAGAAAGTTCTAGGAGCTTAATTTAACAAGCACCTAGCATGTTTATGCTGTCTAAAAACTAAATGTGAAAAACCAAATTTACTTTTTGATGATATTTGATGATGCTTAGTCGAGCACCTAAAGAGTTGAAGGTGCCTAGTTAATCAAGCATCAGCTTTTTGCTCCTTCGAAGGCCTGCAATCAATAAAAGAAGCAAAGCTTCATGTAATAAACCAGTATTGATGTTTTCTCATTAGAGGTACTGAAGTAATTTTGATCATTTTTGAGGCATTCATCTGCATCTTTCTCACAAACAATATTCTTTTTTAAAGGCACATGATTCACACAGAGGGTATTCGTTCCCTGTACAAAGGCCTTGGCCCAAACCTGATTGGTGTTGCACCTGCAAGGTAAAAAGCTGTTTTGTCTGACTTCAGCTCAACCACAAAGTATACTGAGTATTCTTACATTTTTATCTGTACCACAAAATATGGGTTACACAGATATAATGAAACTTTGAAATTCAAGCAGCTGTGCGCAAAATTAAAGCAGCTGCATGAGAGAGTAATATCAGACTCTACAGGTCTACCCATAATGTATATTTTTTTATTTTTTTGTTAACATTTGAATCAGTTCTAAAATGTCAAATTAACAGCACAGGCCTAAGTCTCTTTTAACTCCAGTTGCCTTTCTCATGCTTTTTTATTCAAAGTCATGTTCCATTTGGCTTTTTGTCATTGGGTTTTTATGATCTAAACTGCCGTAACTAGAACCAATAATTGTGGTAGACAATAACTGAAAGCCACTCGCAAACTGAAGGAGATTTTCCTACCCACAAGATTATTTTAATCAACATTAATTTTATTATCAAAGACTCAAGTATGTAAACATTTTCCACATTATGTAAAATTCAAATGAAAGCAAACTCACATTTAAATTGTTTTGCATAATCCATACTTTAAAGTTTATCATTAAGTAATGATAATTAAATCAAGTCTTATTGGGACAGCAGGAAGATTATGTAGCTAGATTTTTAAACAATTCTTGTTTGTATCGCAGCTATTCTTCACATTATATATCCAATGTTTTTTTCAGGGCAGTATATTTTGCAGTGTATGCAAAAACAAAAAAGGCATTATCCAAAGGATACCTTGGGCCTGACAGCAAATTTACGCACATTTTCTCTGGAGCTGCTGCAGGTTTGTCTTTGTGAAACAAATACTTTTTCTATGTAATTTTTTCCTATCAAATATTTATATATCATTAAGATAAATTATGCAACTTTTTCTATATCATAAGACAGCTTTGCAGCTGAGTGGATGACAATGATATCTATTTGTATAAGGTTTTTGGACTCTGGATTGATTTCTTGGAATGAATTGTCAAAAAGTGAAAATTTTTGTCAAATTCTCAAGATGTTGCTTTTCATGCAAAAATTTCTGTTTTAAGTTTCCATTGTTATTTTGATTCTGGTCTCAAAGGTCTTCAGTGGCAAGGTGATGTTAGCAGATTCATAAAGGTTATAGATGTCAACAAGTTGGTTGACTGGAATTAGCAAATCTTTGGTCGCCCAGGTTCAGTGTGTGTTGTTGTGTGGATTCCAGTCCAGTTGCAATACCTGTTGTTTAGTACTGTGTATATCTGTAAAAATAATGCATTGTCACTTTACTCAGCATTACATCATGTCACAAATTGTTTCTGATAGCTCTTTTGAGGTATTCTTGAGCAAGTCTACCACTAAGTTTTTAAGCCCTTAAACTCATTCATGTGAGAAGTAGCATAAAGCTAAGAGGCAATGCTGGAAGTTTCGAGCATTATTTGAAAATTATGGATTTTCCTTCCACTCACCTTTGGTACACAATCTCAAAGTAGCAATTGCTTTACTCCAAGATCATTATTGGCATCCAGAAATTTTCATTTGAACAGGCTAATAGTTTTTAGGTAAGCCAGTCCCAGGAATTGTCTCAAGAAAGACAGACAGATCATGTAATCAATTTGAAATAAGATGGAATTTCAAGTAAATTTGCCTGAAACATTTCTACATCAGATAGCAAAAATAATTGAAGGAAATTAAAATGCTGGTTCAAAAAGGAACCCTGCTGTGGTGACACCTAAATTTCATTTGGAGAAATGTCTTCCATTAATGGTTCCAGCTGCAAAACTGTTCCACATGTTTTCAACTATAGATTCAATTGTGACAAGAATAGGTCTGTCAGTTGAATGTTTCAGCGCTAGAAGAACACAAATTTGCAAAGGCTGCCGGCTAGGAGCTTTGCACTGTTTATTTAATTTGGATGGTGTGTCTTGCTGAAGACACTCACTGGCCTACTACAAAGTAGGGTGTATGCTAGAAGGTGTTCTTTTTGTCACTGTTATGCATGCTTCACAAATAGTATTGCTTTCAGGCATTGAATTACTTGTCTGCAAGCTAATGATTGTCTAAGAAAGATGGCTTGGAGCCTGAGGCTGTTGCATTGTGGGAATGCCATGGAATGGTTCAAGTAATTTTAAGTTTTACCATATGTTACAATGCCTTCATTTGAATATTGATAATTTTTGTATCACATAAGCAACGTCAGTATAAATCCCTAGACATTTCATTATAACCACGCTTGTTTTTCATTCTTCATTACTTCATTAACAAAACCAGATATTTAATTAGCATTTTAATTTTTTTAAATTTTTATTTTTGTCAATCGATATTCTAAATTACTTAAACTAAAGACGAATGTATCGTTAACAATAAAAATGATGTAAAATCCCATGTAAAGGAACTCGAACGAGATGACCTTGCCAGGAAATTGACCAAAATAATGTCTAAAGTTGCATTTATCTGATAGGGCATATTGTGTAAGTGGGCAGTCTTGTCTAAGACAAGCCTAAAAACTTTATTGTTTGATTGTTATTTTGTGTCGGTTTGGTCAAGCCCCTTTCGAGGATAATGCTGCGAATATGTGATTGGTCTGGTTTTAAACCTTCCATATAGAAATTGCGCGGCACAGCATATACAATGGGTTTTAACCTTATTTGATTTAGAAATTCAATCCTTCAAAAGGATATACACTTAATACCATAGAAGTTAAATCCGATTTGAAAAATAAAGTAAGTAAAGAAAAATGTCTTTATCTGATCTATCCGGTTTTTGGCGGGGAAATGAACCATTGTTCTCAAGTATTTTATTCAATTTCGAAGATACCGATTTGAGTCCTCGAGAGGGGTTGTCAGTTTTGTAGAAATGCATGCTCGACAAGTTCCTGTGGTTTATGACAGGTTCACAGGCGACATGGCACCGCCCCTGCCCAGTAGTTCGGGAGTCTGATAGATTTTGCCTTCAGAACAATGTCTGGCAAATGAAGAAGATATTATGTCACTCGGAGAATTGGTCTTTGACAGTCTTGTTTTTTTGAAAAGCAACTTTGGCTAAAATTATTCAAGAAGAAGTTAGCCTGTGCTTGCGAAAAAGGCTTTCCCGCCATTTTTAAGAAACAGAGATTGGACTCAGGCCTGCTTCTGCTTGACTTAAACGACTAAGTTTATTTCTCTCCTATATATTTCTATCTACGTTTTGACCGGTAATTTTATTTTTGTTTTCCAGGTTTTGTGACTCACACTTTTACTGCCCCCATATGGTTTGTTAAAACAAGGCTCCAGCTTGATGCAAAGTAAGACATTTTTCATTCTCCGTTTGGTACGAATCTGAAGTTGATTGCGAATCTGGTTATAGATGTCACCCATAAATAATTATAAAATAATTAATTATATAATAGTTATAAAATAATTAATTATAAAACAATTATAAAATAATTAATTATAGAATAATTAAGGAATTTTTACAAAAATACCAGATGTAAAGCAAATCTTGGAAATTTGTATTAATTACTCTTATTGAACAATGAAAACAATTTTTTGCGGTACAGAACTGGCAAATAGCTTTTAGTAGTATGTTGTGAAATATTTGCTTTTTCAAAGCCATTATTTTCTCTAAACAAATTTTTCATAACAGTTTTGTGTATTAATGTGTTCGTGCAGATTTGCTCTTTTATTTCTTGCCATAGGTTTCTTCGAAGGAGTTTTTTTAAAATAGAAATGAGTGCGCGCCTAAAGATTTCCTTTTGCTCTTATAACAGCTAGAAAGCACCAAAAACTTTTGTAACATTAACAATGCTAATCTAGAAGGGGATCACCATACCGTATTGTCTTCCTTTTTAGAAATGAAAAGATGAATATGTGGCGATGCATTTCTAATGTTTACAAGCAATACGGCTTAAGAGGATTTTATCGTGGTCTTTCTGCGTCTTACTTCGGGATTTCAGAGACAGTAATCCATTTTGTGATATACGAGCATGTGAAGAAAAAGCTGCGCATCTACCATCATCATGCAGGACTAGAAGGAAATAAACTTGTTAGTCAGAATATATTTACGGACTTTATGATTGCAGCAGGCTTTTCCAAGACTATCGCTTCCATTCTCGCATATCCACACGAAGTTGTTCGGACTCGGCTTAGACAGGAAGAGGTTAATGGTCAAAGAAAGTACAAATCGTTTTTCCAGACACTGTTTCTAATATTTCGCGAAGAGGGTCGCAAGGGCCTTTACGCTGGCCTAGGGACACAGTTAGTGAGACAGGTACCAAACAGTTCAATAATGTTCATGACGTACGAAACAATGATTAGTCTTCTGTGTACTGATGATGATGAAAATGGCCTTTAACGCAATGCTGGTTCGCCAAAGGTGCATTTTACCTGCCATGTCGTAGTGTTTATAGGAATACAACATCAATTATGATACTTTATATTATGAAAATTGATAAGTATATTTTTATCCATTGTGTTAAATTGAAATTCACCACACTGAGTTGGTAGTGGAACTGTTTTTGTATGCCAGATTCTCACCCTGCCATGGCATCGTTACAAAGTATCCCCTGTTGTCCTTAGGTTATTTTACAGGTGACCCCGTAACAACCCTCCTTTCTTCGAAACCTTTTAGATTTTGAAGTTTAGATACGTTTCCCTGTTGGAATTAAGCAAGCAAAACACATGAATATCTTCATATAGAAATAAATTAAAATGCCAACGATATAAGGGAATGTACCACAATCTTCTCCCGTTTAAACTTTTGGTGCTTTCTTTTGCTCTTTTCCCTTATTAATACCCCTTATTACTTTCCAAAACCTTGTCACTGCCGGTAATATTTTCATTTGCTCGCGGTAATGATCTAAGACATGGTCATGTAGTTTTCAATTAGGTCTTTTTGTTGGACTAGCTTAAGAGAATTGTCACTGCTCATTAATGTTCAGTTGTTGTGTAGATCTTAATTTCTTCCTTCTTCGATTGTATTTGTGTAGATCTTAAAGTATTTGAATCAGGTTTCAAATCTATGCAATACACCGCCCACCTGAAAATTAAAGATGTGCAACAGTTTTTTAATTTCATATGTAAAGTTATTTCACTTCAGTATTTGTAACACTAGACAAAATATGACTCCTTGGTAGTCAAAGTAAAAAGAGTCCTTGGTAGGGTTTTTAATCTAAACTTGGCTCAAACTATTTCAATACTTACAGTAGCTTTTTTAGCTGTCCTTCAATTTAAAAATGCTACTGTTTCACGTGATAAATTTTTGCAAGTAAACCCCTAATAGCCAAAAATTCTTGTTGGAGAAACTTCATATTTGAATGTTCCACTGGTGCTGCCTTCACTAGTGAAAACTTGACCAGGAAATGGATTGGTTTGAGGGACCTGGTCAGTAGAGAGAGGATGTTAATAGCAGGCTCCGATTTTCGACGTTTTCAACTCGTTTTCTGTGTTGTATTCGTTATTTTGCGCTTAATACAACTTCAGTAAGAACATGGAATATGTTGCGTCTAAGTTTAGTTCTGTAACTAACAACTCACGGCTGTCCGAACTGATGTTATCGTAGTAAAACGCATTTTTTGTAGCTCGTACGTGTTTGTGCCCGAAATGGGGTGTTTGATTGTTGTATGATTGCTGCTCAACCACTGTGAATGTATGGTAATAAGATTCCAAATCGACCACAAGAAGCCTTTCTCTGCAACAATTTTTTTCCTTCCCTGTTACATACTGTTTTTTAACATTAATATAACAAGTTTCCATTCAGCATGGAAAAGTCGTTCTGTGCCTTCTATGGGGTTATGTGGGGCACTTTCTGAAAGCCCTGAGTGGCCTACCACTCTGTTGTACCATTTACTTGTTAGGAATTGTGAGAGAATTTGAAAGAGATAAAAGTTTTCATGGGATTTTAATGTCAAAAATCAAGGTTAAAAATTTGTACTTATTAGCATTAGCTAACTATGAATATTGAACACTTTAAAAACTCATTATAATTTGAACATTAATTCTAACCCTGGTAAAATCTCTAGTCTAAGACTTAACAATCTTGGGCGCAATCATTTGTTTCCAGGTGTAATACTCGCAGTCGTCTGGTGAATTGACATCTATGATCTCTGTTGCCACGTCTTCCTTTTTAAAACCAGCTTCAATGATCTTTGGTATCTGTGTTTCATTGAACATAACATTCAAGTCATCGTATTTTCCGTTCATCAATTTCCCCCATGATGTTAGGTTACAGTATGTTAGGATTCCGCCTGGTTTAAGCAGTCTGCGGGCATGCCCGCAAATAAATGCGAACTGGTGCGTGTGCCAAGTTTCTTCTGATAGTGGAAAGGTATCATACAAAATTCCATCGAAAGACTCGTCTGGCAAAGTGGGAATGACATCTTCCCACATACCTAGAAGCAAGGAATGGTGTTTATGGTGATATGTTGAGAAAGAAGCACATTTGAGCCTACAGAGAAGTTTTACGAAACGTAGATTGAGGTTAGTCCTCACTCTCTTGTTAACATTTTTGATGACTTTTGTTCTTTCAAGTCTCTTTAGGGTTACTTAAATACCAAGTGTCAAAGAAATACTTTTTGGAAACATGAAAACATAAGACAAGATGAAATGAACCAGAAGAGAACGACTTATCAGGGCATAAGGAATTCTATTTCTATTATCTATGTCAAATGAACAGGAAGAACCGCCAAAAAGAATCATTTCCATCCAAGCTTCAAAAAATCAATTTCGAGCAGTTCTATATAATTAATGGTGATCAGCACCTTAGGGCCCATTCTTTTATAGGTAGGTTCTTATAAAAAATGAGATATAAAAGTATTTTTATTATCGCGCCATTAATTCTTTAGGCTGCAAAAGGTTAAACTTTTCGGTCAGATCCGCAGAGTAATCTTTTCAGTTACTTCGATAACCTTTTTAGTCTTTGCCATCGTGATGTATTCACAACAAAAGCAATGTTGTGACATATTAAGAATAGTATAGTAGCCTTTTGAATGTTGTTCATGGCCAAAAGGCTTTTTCTTATCGAGGTCCAAAACTGTGGAACAGTCTAGAAAGGGCTACCAAATTGGCCCCCTCCCTCAAAACCTTCAAAGAACAACTATAGTCGGGGACAACTTTTATTTCATCTTTACGTTCACTTTTTATAGCCTTAGTATTATTAAATATTGTAAATTAGGTTTGGTTGGTAAATTTCTTTTGTATTAGTATTATAACATAGTTATTAGCTCTTATTTTAATCTTTTAAACAGGACAGGTTGAAAAACATGTGTATGAACCTTTAACCTGTATAAATATTATAAAATGAAAAAAAATCTTAAGGTTACGGTAAACGTTTTTGACACGATATTTGGTTTTCTCTCCCTAAAAGCAAAACTATTAACGGAATCAGATTAAATTATACATCATTCGATGAGCAAGAATGTGGCCATTCCAATTATATTAAAATAATTGGCAAAGATTGTAAAATGATACTTTCCAGGCAAATTTATTGCTTAAATGAGTGTACCACCTTCAAAAGCTATTTTGTACCCTTGTGTTTGAGGTAACAGAATCTGACTTATATCAGAAGAAATCGGAGATTCTTTGCTACCAAAGTGTTCCTCAGATTCTTCAAATTCCTCCTCCCCTTGAAACTATATCCTGTCAAAAATTGGCAAACAATTTTTCTCCCCTCTCATAGCTGTATTTGGCTAGAAAAGACGGACCAGAGCAAATACAAAAAATTTTAAGACACTTTGCTTAACCGACATCTGTTCTAGCCGTGTGCAAAGTTTTTAGCCATTCGATTGGTTCCTTGGGATTTTACTGATCGCGCAAAGGTAAATTGGATACATGGATGTGAAGCATCGATAATTGGCTTAATAGGTCAAGAGATTTTCAGGCCTTAAATAAAAATTCTGATAAAGAAATTATGGAAACCTTCGTTTACATGGGATTTTTTCTATTTTTAAAATTTCTGTTTGTTTCAAATTTGTTATAATTGTGTGCCTTAAAAGTTCTGCTACTTGAATGTGAAAAAATCGAAAAAGGGATGTTTTCATCCAGAAAACGTTTACGGTAACCTTAACATACAGTCATATCAAATATTAGGAAATAAAAATTCCTGCTATTTAAGGGCCCTGAGTAATTTCTTGGATGGTTGACATTAAAACATAGTTGAATACTTTCCTGATTGTTTGTAAAGCATATTGCAAAAGCCACAGTTATATATCTGAATTCAGACCTTATATATCTGAAATTTCCGACAACAATTTATAAATGTCAAGTTAAGAGAATGACACGCTTTAAGTTAGAAGAATTAACGTCGATCTTACGTTGGCCCACAACTGCCACGCACTTGAATTAAACTGATTCGCTTACAAACAAAACAGATTCACATTGAAACAAACCGATTCACGTAGAAAGAAAAACCATTTACACAAAATTCACTCTACCCCGGCCATAGTTTGTTCCTTATTTGCTCTTAACTTTGGACCAGTTCTAAGGCTTGTCGTGTTCTTTTAAAACTGTCATTATGAAAGAGAGTGCAGATGAGTATACCCTAGATCAATTACCATTTTATCCCTGTTGTGATCTACAGCTAAATTGCCGTAGCATGTTCTGGTTTTTGAGAACTTTTTGCATTTTCCTGCAACTAGATAATCTGAACTGTAACAACATTTGAAATCATGGAGTTGACTGAAAAAAGCCTCATTAAAGAAAAATTGATGAAACGACGTGAAAAGAAAAGACTTTTAACAAATTGATGACATTTTTTACTGTTGCAGGCACAGCAGCGTACAGCAATATGATGTATATGTCTCACGAAAACTTTCAGGAGATGTTGGGCCGCACAGAGATGACAAAATTACTAAAAATGAAAACATGAACTACCCGACCATCGCGGACAATCTTAATTCCTCTTAAATACATGCAAAAACAAGCATATATACCTTTCATTGGCACGACTTTGTGTTCTGCGTTGGCAGCAAACTTTTTTAGCCTTTCAAACACCCCATCGTTGACTTCTATTATTACATGTTCTTTGATTGGAAAAGACTGGATTTTTGTAGCTGAAATGGCCATACCAAAGCCTATTTCAAGGACTCTTCCCCCCTTAGAAGCTGCAATGCTAGCAAGCTTGTGCATGTAAGGCGTCTCCCATCTCTCCATCACGGGCTTTCCCATTATCTTAAGGTGCTCATCTACTTCATCGTAGTCGGCTGACGCTTTCGACCAATTCTGTTGGCACTCTTCGCCCTTTGCGAAGATGACTGGGTTCGCCATTGCAGGAACTCTGAAGCATAAAAAAAGAAATATTATCATAATCAGTATCAGGGCCGAATTTTAGAGGCAAGGATTGCGGGTTGTTAGGTAATGCTGTGGTGGCAGCACACCTTTCAAGTGCCTAGATAAAGCCCATTTTTATCTATATACTAAAAAAGGCAAGACGATTTATCTAAATTTAATTAACGACTACCAAAAATATTTTTACCGAATCAAAACAAAATTCACCCGAAGACAAAAATAGGGGGGGTGCTGCACGCTACACACCACACGGTAAGCCCGTCCCTGATTGGAATTTCAAATATAAGCGTTGCTTCAACTATTGGAACGACAAAGGTTCCTCGTTTGTCAAATGTTGCTGTCCTCAGTGCCGAAGCCGCAGAAGAACCTCGAGCTAAAGGATAGAGAAACGGGGAAAAGAAGCAAAGGAGAACCTCTTTCTTCTCTCGATTTATTTTTTGTTTCTACCTTATTTTTACCAAGAAGGCTTTGCAAAAGAGTGGAAGAAGTTTTGGAAGGAGTGAATTCAGAGTATCCTTGCCACATTTGTTTGTTTTGTGTGCACACCAATCGATGAGCAAAGTGTCACGCGCGTAGATGAATAAAAATTTATAAGACAAGGCCGGTTCTGAGACCTACAGCCATTTAGGCCAAAATCTCTTTGACGTGCAAAATGTGACAAGCAGGTCTAACTTCGAAACAGCCCCCGAAACCTGTTGCAGACTGAAATGTTTGTTTAACCCCTAATGTGATTCACTGTAGAACTTTTAAATCATAAGGTATCATATCAAAAATACATTCAACCTTCCGGTGTAATTTTAATGTTTATCAAATGAAATTTTATCAGAGGTCATTTCACGAAGGGTGTTGTAGAACTTCCCAGGGGCGAGATACTATTGGGGGGTGTCACAGCCCCCCCCCCTCCAATAGTATTCGATAGGAAATTTCAGGTAAAATCCGCCCAGTGAAAGAAACGCTTTAGGTATTTCAGCGACGTTCATGTATTAACATCAATAAAGGATCAAGCAAAGATAGTTGCTCCTTTGGCTAAATATGATACTTCTTGATATGAAGGAAGATAAAAAACTAATGACTTGAAGATTTGAAGATTTCTTATTGGCACAAAAGCTAAAAATCCAGGCACTCTTTAGGTAAAATTGTGTCTTGGGTCCATTTCCCTTAAAAAGGCATGCTAAGATGGAAAGAGGGATCTAAATTGGCAACCAGTGCTGCTTGTTACCTAGCTTTAGAAGTAACTGGCAACATAGAATTTTTTAAGACCACGGCGAAATTGTATACCAGTCGTTTTTTATCTGCTGTTCAATTTGTTTGCAAAAATAAAAGAATTTTCGGTAGGATTAGGAGGATTGCTTTAGGAAATTTTACTTAAAAGAGTGCATTTTCCAGGGAACTGGAAGCATCAAAATTCGAAAATTTTTCCTCCGTCCGTCCAGGTATACAGATTTGGCAAAGCCATTAGGAAAGTCCGTTATTATCATTTTAAAATGAATGTTGTGAATTATATGCCACACAGTTAGATTGAAAAAATGTATTGCAGAGGTTTGTGACAGCCACTTAAGAATTTCAGGTAATTATTTTTTTATCAGTTTTTAGCTAAGGTTTGATTTGATGAGGGATGTGGCAATGTTTTCTGAGAAAACCATTTCATTTAAATGAAAGGTAAATCCTCTGCTGATGTTTTTCCCGAGTAGGAAATTAGCGTGCTAATAAGAGAAGCTGAACAACTAAATAAATGACAGGTTGTAGACCTAACTTCAAATGTTAATACTGAGACGTGATAAACTAACAGGAGGATAACAGGGACATGTATGAAAGCACCTCACTATCTTCAGGAATTAAGAAAAGATTTGACTGTGGCTGTAGCATTGACTGTTTAAAATTTTTTGCTGAAAATAGGAACAAAAGAAATTGGCCTGCAATTTGATTAACTTGTGGCAGATCTTTTTTACATGATAGATTGATCCTTCATTTTTTACTTTTTCACTTTTCGATAAAATTTCCAATCACAGGGATTTAGATATATCGTTGGAAATGAAAGGTGATCGAAAATTTTCAACATCAGAAATCTTCGAGGTTTGATTTATTAGAAATAAGGTAGCTAACTCCTAATATGGAGATTGATGGCCTTCGCATGCCACGCCCTTGCTAGAACGAAAAAGCTAGCAATTGCCCTGCTATTTAAAGGATAATTCCAGGCTAAACTTTTCTTTGAAGAAACCTATGCATTTAAATGTTCTCAAATATCAAATTAGTTTTTCAAAATTGCGAATCATTTCTGAGTAATATGGTCTCGAAGGTTGTTTCCGGTCAATTCTGAGAAAAGGACGCCCCAAACTAGAACTATTTGCAGTCTGGGGCTCAGGCTATGAATGAGTAGCAGCATTGTGCTCGGTTTATTCATTGACTATGGTTTATTTCGGTTTTTAAAGAAAATGGCACAAAGTTCAGATGAAGAATTTCTCTTCCTACTATCAACAAAACAGTTGTAAGCACTACAGTGAACCATTATTCTTGTATGTTCGGGCTTCCTTGCAGCGAAGAAGATACATACGCATGGCCCCCTCTTTTATACAAAGTCTCTATGTGGATCGCGTGTCCGAAATCCAATGATCGCATATGACGTCACAATGGAAAGTCAAATTCTCGGAAACTAAGAAGATCCGACAATTGTCCCGCAGCCAACGACTATTTCAATTAACAATTACTCGCAAATTAAACCATATTTTGAAAAAATTCTTTCACGATCGCTCTTCCCACACCCATTTGCCACTTACTGTCACGCAAAAAAATCATCACGGAATTCTCCTTTAAGAACAAATTAAGAAAAATCCAGCCTCAGATTTTAGAAAAAAATTAAGAACAGTCAGCCTGACCATAAATTTACTGATTCTTGTAAAAAAAAGCGTATTTACCACTTTCTTGAAAACGTTCAACCATAACATTTAATGGTTAAAACTCCTCATTAATGATGGGTAACCAGTTAATCATTAGCCAATGTGTTTAAAAATATCAATATTATTTGTTTAGGAAGTCTAATAACAGAAAGTCCGATTATGACTCTAGGCCTTAGCGAATCTCAAAATTTCTTGGAAATCCTGTTTTGGCTTTATCGAGGACATACTGGAAAAATCAAAACCTATGACCCTAGGACCCCTATGACCCCTAGGACCATTAACTATAAAGAACCAAAAAGGACCCTCAACTACTACATGATTTGCGGCTCCCTCAGAACCATGCCTTTAAACACATTACACACGACAATAGACTAATGAAAAAATGACAAAACACCATCGAGGCATCGACGCAAGCATCGAAAATCACTTCAATTAACTGACCAAAGAAGAGAAGCAAAAACATACATCTAACCTTCAAAAGAGAACAGTGCATGAAATAACGGAGTGTGTCAGACCAGGGTTTAAGTAGGCTAGGGTTTAAGGGACCTTTAGAGGTAAGGGAGAATGAAATAAATGGACAATGTTAGCAGAGCAGGGTTTCACAGGGTTTCGCAGGGGAGAAAAACAATGGCATTATTTACAATAGCAATACTTTTTTACCAATCAAAATTTTTATTGCCATTGTAAATAATGCCATTGTTTTTCTTCGCATATCAGGGCCCTGTGCTCCTACCTTGAAGTTGCGTTCACAAGCACACTACTTAATGATCGTCCAAGCACAATCCCGAGAGCGTCCAGGCAATACCGTAAAAGTCTAAATAGCACTAAAATAAAGCGAAATTATCCAACTTTTATGATTTTGACTTCACAGAGTTTCACAGCCAACGTATCTAATCTGGAACTCGGGCTAATAGCTTAACCAACTGACAAATAACCAGCAGAAAACTGATTAATCAAAAGAACGCTGACTATAGCACACACACACACTTTGATTAGTTTGCCGATTTCCATTGCTTGCGGCCACGAAATGACATCTGCAAGCCTTTTACAGACAAGCTATCTAATAGTTTAATAGCCCGAGCCTTACTTACTACCGATACTTATGGTCAGGGGTCTGTAACTCAGGCTAATAGCTTAACAAACTGAAAAATAACCAGTAGAAAAGTAGTTATTCAAAAGGACGTCGACTGTAGCACATGAAACGTAGGGGTTAGCGAGCCAGAGTCAAGGGAGGTAAGTCCTCTTTTTAGTAAAGCGCTCATTGTTTTACTGATTCCCTCTTAAGAACTTGCAGAGAAGACCCTCTTTGCTAGGAACCAGTTTCCCTCTCGAACTCTGCCCTTCCTAGCTTTACAAGACTAAACTTCTAGTGCCCTGAGACATGAGTAAGTTAGTCTATGCCTAAGGTAAAAACAAAGCAGGCAGATAAAGTTCATCATTGACTCTAGACGGACCTGTCAATGAAGAATTTCACCGCATCTCTTTTATTTTTGTAGCAACAAACAGGGCCGCGGAGAGGATTTATAGGCCCCGGGTCAAAACGAAAGATAGAAAGCAAGTGCTCCGAGGAAAGTTTTTGAGACGATGGTTGCTAAAATTGCGGCTATTTTGGTTGCTGAAATTGCGATGGTGGCTATTACTCCTTTGGTAATTTAATGGGGGCCTATTATAGGGGGGCAAAAGCCGCAAAACCATGCAAAAATCAACCAAATGCCGCAATCCGCAATGAAATCAAGAGCGCCTATATGGGAAAATTGGAATATGAGATAATTAAAGTTTTCGGGGAGGAAATATAACTATTTAGATTTTTAGGTTTGAAAGATGAAATAACTATGGTTCCCAGTATGAAATATGAAATAACAAAATAGCTGGATACATAATTTAATGTTGTGTTAGAATTATCTATTTGATAACAGCATTGAATCGAGTGACTTTTGATATGTAGAGCTGTTAAGATACCATATTACGCCTGGGTTGCTCTTTTAAGATTTTCAAACTTTTTCGGGGCATTTTCTCAAAGGAGGCACTTAAAAAAGAGGCGGCTTTTCATACTTCACGATTAGTAAAAATGCCAATAGCATAGAATCTACCGCAAATAGTTTTGGCTTATATTATCTCAAAAAAATAGACGAAAATACCAGACAGCATCATAAAAGTGTTTTTATCTACATTGATTGCTCCACATCCTTATACTATGAATTCTTTCTAAGACCACTACAGCAGTTTTGTAAACCATTTAAGTTGCAGAATTTTCAAATCTCTAAACAGATATTGTTCATTTTCCAATTTTTTTTAACCTGAGGCTAGACATGTTTCCCGCGAAGTTATTCTTATCTTAAACAAATTAGAAGAAGCACCTAATACACCAATTCAACTTACAGCCTCATTTTTGCGTTAAATCTAAAATACAAGCACAAACATTATGAAAAAAATTGTATCCAGCCTAAAATTGGCCATACTTTGTAATTCAATATGGCACCAATAAACAATGCTAAAAATTGATAGATATTATGTTTTTGATGCAAGACGAAGTAACTATATTAGATCAAACTATAAGGAAAAATTATGAAAAGCCACGTGAAGGCAACCGTAAAGAGAATTTGGCCCACTACAGCTCCTGTTTTTCACACTCGATGAGTACCCCTTGAAAAGACACCTAAATTATCTACTCTTTAGAGACATGTAGTCAATCTCTAGTATTTATAACGATTTCTTCTTGAGAACACCGAAAGTGTGGATTTTACTTAGTTTTAGCTTTGCATGAATTTTATTTTAGCATTTTTTCTTGCTATCTTATGCATCCAAGACTGCAAGTGACTAGAAATAACAGTATGACTGTAGTATGAAGAATTGATAAAACAACTGAATTTACTGGTTATTAGGGCTCTTGGCGGTTAGTAGAGCCAAAGAAGATGTCCTAAAATTCAAAGTTAAAAAATCCTTCAGGCACATTGTCTTTCCCAGGCATGTATATAACTGGCCCCTTCAGGTTGTACCCTCCACGCAAAGGACTCCAGACTATCAGTTTAGTTTTATCTGTGAACAAGCTTAAGCATTTGAATTTGCAACGCTTATTTCCCAATCTTTTTATTGCATTAAGTTTGTCTCTGACTTTGCCTTCTAATGTTGCATCAGACGAAATATCGTTCAGTAAGCTCAAATTCATAAAGTATTATCTTCGCTTTACCATTGACCAAAACAGGCTTAGCTCATTGGTTTCAATGTCCATGGAAAATGAAATTGCCGAAAAACTTGACTATAGCTCCATAATGAACCTCTTTACAGATGCAAAGTCTTGAAAATTGTTTTGTTAAACACCTAGACAATTGCCAAAAGCTACTAGCTCTGTTAGAGTTAATACTATTACTGCTTCTACCTTATTTCATTCTAAAGGCTTTTGCGACTATTGTTTCTATTGTTTGCGTCTTCAACAGTATCTAAACAGTACCAGAATTCTTCGTACACAGCGACAGGATACCTACCTTTCCAGTATGCCTTTATCAAGAGTTGAACCTTAACAACTTATGAAGATATTCAATTGCTATTTATACCTACACACTGAATGAGAAGACAACATAAACAATGGCTGTCAGCTACAGGCCACAGGCCGACCCAGTCCTGTAGAATCTTCCGTTTAGGCCTGTAATACACGAGGCTCCGGTCACGAACGATGAAAATGTTCAAACTTTGATTTTTAAACCCAGATCTCTCATGGAAGCCTCTTGCTGTTTTCAACTCTTCATGCTTGATTTTCGCCAAGAGTTCAATATTTATTCAAATGTCAACATCAACGAAACTTTGTGTTTGACTTGTTCCGACAAAAGACCGTTAATTGCCTTCTAATCCGTTAATGAATCATATTCTATAGTACTGTTATGGTATTAGTTTCTCATTTCTCATACCGTGATGTCATTAAACTTTTGTCTAAGGCCCTGTTCACATAGCCTGCGTTCAGACTCTGTTGACAAATCTGAAAATGGAGAAAAAGTAGAGTCTGCGAAGCCGAGCCGATTTTCTTGTTCACATGTCCCTCAAAATCAAGGAACCCAATTTGATTGGTTGGGGGAATTTCAATTGCTTTTTTCAGTTTTCAAAGTGGCGCCTTCGAGTAGAAGTATAGATGATTGGTATCAAGTAATAGAATAGGTCTGTTTGTTCTTTTGAACAACTAGAATTACAGAAAAACATTGCACACTAGTGGAGTTGTTGTTCTAGTGCTTAAAATAAAATGTTGATGTCAGCGAACAAGAAAAGCGCCTCTGTTGCGCAGACTCTACTTTCTCTCCTCTTTTAAATTTCCGAGTCTGCACGTAGGCTATGTTCACACAATACCGGATTCATTTCGTTTCGGATCACTTTTCATATCGGATAGGCCTTCTGTTCACACGATGACGCTTGAATCCGATACGCACCGTATCGTTTTTGCGGAGTCAAACCATTCCGCTGTAAGTGTGGAATGGAATCATATCGGATCGCTTTTGAGCTCGTGTGAACGCATGAATCCGATACGGTTTCGCTCCGGAACCTCTGTTTCGAAAAGGCAGCTTCGTTTTCGGGGTTTCTAAAAACAGTTTGGCACTCTTTTCAAGACACAAAATGACAGTGGATCGCATTTAAACAATAAATTTGCTCCTTGTGATGATGATGAGCTTCACAAGATTAATGCAAAGGAGAATGAGATTGTTTGAAAATTGATTTCGTAATATTTCTTCTTCAAAACAAAATAGCGTATCAGTTTCGTCACGTCAAAGAATGCATTCAACCAGAAAAAGAACAAAACAACGAACAACATTCCACGTTGCTATGCAACTGCTTCAAGACAATGCATTTTTTGGAGCAGTGTTGAAGCGTAGCGTCGTCGTGTGAACAGGAGTGAATCCGATACGAAATGAATCCGGTATCGTGTGAACAGAGCTTGATATTCGTATAGGATTGGGTCAGTGAATCCGATATGAAATGAATCCGGTATCGTGTGAACAGGGGCCCTGCCCTAAGTGGCCCTGCCTTTCGTCCGGGCCTTTTGTTATCCTCACATTAAACAAAGCAACTTGTACTTCATGGTATAAGCTTTGGATTTCTCATACCGTGGCCAGTCTTAAAGCCTGATTTACACGAGACGAATTTTTCGCGCGAAGCGAATTTTTCGCCACGAATTTTTCGCCTGCGAATTCGCTGCGAATTCGAAGTTCAATTTCCACTGGCAAAATTTCTTTTGCGAATTCGCCGCGAATAATGCAAAATAAAATGGCGTCTGTTCGAAGATTGTTGTTATTAAAAAAAAGCGAGCAAAAAAGCAAAGAAAGGGGTACTTGGTTCGAAAAATTTATTCAGAACGTCTACAGAAGGGGTAGTTTCATCTTTTGGTAAGTGACCTACGCTTACATTATCAGGAATAATTACTTTCGAATGTCGCCAACTACATATGAGGAGCTTTTATCGTTTATTGCACCAAAGACGCCTGTTGCTAGAAACGTCCCATTCCATTGTTTATGTTATAGGTGCGGGATTTTCCCAGCATTGTTTAGGCCTGGTCATAGGTTACTCATTCTTCACCCATGTTGTTGTTTGAACCATTGCGTAGTTTTCTGTCGTTTTGCATACTTTTGATTTAGATATGTCTACATTGCGTAGCACCATTCGGCCTAGCCCTTCCTTTGGGTTCGTGTCAGATGTCTTCAATTGCTGTTCTGATTGGTTTATTTTACAAGGCGAAAAAATTCGCAGCGAAAAAGTAGGAATGGTTTCTACTTTTTCTCGGCGAAATATTTCGCAGCACCTAATAACCAGTCAAAGCATGGTAAATTTGCTTGATTTGTAAGAAAATAATCTTGGAACATTCGTCATGCGTGCAGTTCTTAAAATAGGCGCCTTAAAGTTGAGTTTTGGAGGAAATTATTATATAGTTTCGCAGCGAATTCGCAGTCTCGTGGAAATCAAAGACCATTTCGTAGCGAATTCGCTGCGAATTTCGCCTCGTGGAAATCAGCCTTAACCATTTTATTTCAACACAACGCTAATCTTTCACTTCCTCGCGTCATTGTATTGTGTCTTAACAATATGGATCGGGTCTTAGAAAGTGAGTACCGCTGAGGAGTTTCAAATATTTTCTCAATTTTGTCAACTCCGGCTTCGCCTAAAAACAGACGGAAAACCAGGCACCGCGGAGCAGGGGGAAGGGGTACGCTTTTGCAAAAAATGCCAAATATTTAGTACTAAACTACCAGTAAAGGTTTTAGCCCCCCCCGCCCACTTTTGTTAGACCCCCCCCACTTTTCTCAACGCTCCGCGGTGCCTGAAGACCATGTCCAAAAGAGTGAGTTTTTCACTGAGGTTATTTAAAATATTTTCAAGGCAAAAAACGAAGTTTCCCAAACAAGTTTTTTTCAGATAATGTTTTTTAAAAGTTAAAAAAGGAATATTTTTCAGAGAGTGCTGGTGATAAGCATGGGTTGACAAGTCCAAATGCTGTGTCTTGGTTGGCGTATAGTATTTTTCATTGAATTTTTCTAGAATCGGCTTTTTGATTTGCGATCCTGATACCCTGGCAGGCTAGTGGCAATTACGAAAGGGCTCTAGACCAGCAGCAATGATTGTAGCCGTGGCTCTACGCCCTTTACCACGATTCTCATACCGTGCCCTTGAGGTGGCGATACAGCAAGGGCTGTGCGCCGTCTGTCTTTAACCGGCCTTCACCCATAAAGATAGGAAACCTAAGCCCGCTATTAGAACAATGACCCCATGCAATGTGGTTGCTTTTTTTTGAAGAACCTCGCAAAAGAGAGCTTATGCAGTTTTAATCTCAAATTTAGAGTAAGTCTAAGTAAGACTCAAATTCATAAAAAATTTCAGAGAACTAATACCAAAAAAATTAAGATCTTCGAGTGATTCTGATCTGGCCAACTGGTAAGAACATCTCTGACATGTATAGGGTAGGGCTGAATTATCAAAAAATTTGAAAACCTTTGCAGTCATACATTGTTCAAATCTCTCTTTCGTGGGGAGCCAATTGATATTTGTAAATTCCTTGATTCCTATATGTGCTCTGTTATTTAGATTCAAACAGAACCTTATACATTTATTTTGAGCTGTCTGAATTCTTTTGGTCAATCTTTTGTTTAAATGGGGCTGAATTAGGGCGTTTGCTAGCAATCTACGAGAGGAGAAGTCAAGAAAATGTTGCTTTCTGTAAAGAAATCTTAGCCTGCCATTGATTGATTCCCCGTCGAGAATACAGCCTAAGTATATGACTGAGGTGTATTGTTTAATCTTGATGTGGCCTCTTCTGATGTCCAGTTTTTTTCTGTCCGTATGTATATGCTTTCTACCAAAAAGTATCGATTTTGTTTTGTCCTCTCCAAAATGAATGCTTAGTTTGTTATCAACAAACAAATCGCAAAGAGCATTTTCCTACGACAATTCCCCCGAAGTAGGTCATGTCTCTAAGGTAAGGGGCTATGAAGATCATTACATCAATATGTTAAAAACAAAAGATATGCAATCTTTGAAAGATGATACCCTCAGGCCCTGGAGGACTTCCTTCAAAAAATATTGTTGCATTGGCGATTGCCTTCGTGAGCTCAGCACGCGGGCTATTCGTCGCCCTTGGTAAAATTTCTTAACGAAAAGGCCAGTTTGTATGGCAGAAAGAATGAATATTTTACAATATTGAAATAATGCGCCGTTTTGGCTAAGCTGAAGAATCCGGTTGGGATAACCCGATTAATCTCGTGTCATACATGTCGAAGAGTTATTTGACTGCATCAACGAATCACAGGTTGCCTAGGATCAAGGACTCCCTATTGTTCATGTCCGCCTAATGTTTTGCTATTTTCGGTTGTTTTTCATGGTCATCCTAGCTGCTTTCCAAAAGGTAAGAAGCAGAGTGTGGTATGAGCCATGCTCAAACTGAAATAACTTTAACACAGCAAAGAAAGCGACAGCAAAGATAAGCGACAGCAAATTCGGGGTAAAATATTGAAGAGAACACGCAATCAATCGTTAAAAGATTAGAGGAGTAGCAAGCTATCTAGTTGAAATTAAATCTGAATGTTAAAGAATGAAAATAACAGAGACTAATACAAACTAAAGTGAATGCATAAATATGTTTAATTTCCGCTACTCATTACTTACTTTCTGTATACGTTGAGAGACAGGATCGAAGCAAATCCACCAGAGAACGTGGGTAATCGAATAACAATCGAATGGAGTAAGGTGTCAATAGTCACGTGGCTACGAAACTAGTTCTGCTTGTTTGCAGGGACATACCCTGGGCGCCAGACTCACTATATAAAATAATAGATAGTGAGTCTGGTACCCAGGTATATCTTATTTTATATATAGTGAGTCTGGTACCCAAGGGTAGCAGGGGCATCACTTCAGACGGGGTATGGGGGGTGGTTCACAACCCCCCCACCACTTTGTATGCGTCACTTCATACTTTTTGTTGGGGAGGGGGGGTGACTGCATATTTGCCCTGCAGAAACAATTTTGCCCTGGCAGGGATGGGGGGGGAACCCAGTTGTAGAGGAGCATACTTAGATACATAGAGGAGCAAATTTCGATAATGTTTCATCTCAAAAACGAGGAGCTTTTTGCCATCTTGGGATGCTTCTTCGGTGAATATTTAAGGATGGCGGCAAATGAAGGTTTTCTCACGCACTTTGTTAGCAAAAAAGGCCTGGACACCTCCCTAGAGCTAAAAGCTAGCAATCGCACTGCTTACACCCTATAAATTTAAAAACAAATTAAGAACAATTCAGCCTCAGACTTTCGAAAAAGTTAAGAACAGCCAGCCTGAACTTCAATTTACTTGCTCTTATAGAGAAGAGTATTCCAACATATTCATGACAACACATCTTGAGCAATGCCCCGATGGGGTGTAGTCGAATATTCTGGAAATGAATTATCGATGACATACTCTTCATCTGGCAAATAAAAGCTTGGAAACTTAAAGAAATTTATACAATACACCCTATATCATCCATGAAAAATAGATAAAAAAACCGTACATAGTCGACTCACTTATTTAAGTCACGCTTCTGGTTACAGTCAAAGGAAATTTAGACCCAAATTATTCCATCAAATTTTGACCCAAATAGCCCCTTTTGTAGTGTCTTAGTTTTCTGGCATGAGTGCTTGTCTTTTTAGTATGGTTTTTAAATAAGACACAAATAACAATCAAGGGTGTAACCATGGAAATGGGTGTAAACACTTAAGGTGAAAGGAAATCAGAATCAATTTAGAAATCTATTCGATTCAGCCCAAGGTCACGCTGGCAATTTCTACTTCATGTCACTGGTAGTCTGTATCATTTAACTCTTGCAGTAGACATATTACAAGCATAACCTACTTTCTTGTTACAGTTACATAAGAAAAACAACATAACAGATCCGTTGGTAGAAAACATTTGCCTCGCAAAAAACTTCGCTAAACTTCACTAAACAAAAGTTGAGTGAAATTTTTAGTGAAATGTTTAGTCGTTTTGCCAGGGCTTAACACGATAAAGACTACCAGCGACACAAAATAGCAATTGTCAGTGATAGTTTGGTCTGGAAGGAATAATGATCTTAATAATAATAATGGAATAATAATGGAATAATTGATTCTGATTTCACTTCAGATTTAAGTGTGGTTGATAGTTGTGTCTTTTTTAAAACAATGGCAAGAAGACAACTAAAAAAAATTGATGCAATACCAACTGGACAGGACAATGTAACACTGTCTTGTGCCGGGGGAGATCTGGAATCCAGTTTTTTGCTAAAGTAGTGTGTCCAAATATCTGGAGCATGTGTCAGAACAGACATACTGTACTGTCTTATATCTATAACTTTATATACAGGCAAATAAATATGCACGCTGTGCTTTGAAATTTGAGTCCTCGCCAGGTAGAGCATTTTGGGGCTTATGATCAGTATGCTCCTCTACAACTGGGTTCCCCTCCATCCCTGCATCCAGGGATAATGGCAGCAAAGGTGTATCAATGAAGTGAAGCGTTGTTCTTAACACAACTGAATTCAAACTGAAAAACTGAATGTTTGTACGATTTTATTGGTATAGTGTAGTTATAGAGGTATATAAAATTCTTCACATAAAAGATAATTCTTTTCTGCACATATATGGTGTGTGGAACATTTGAGTCTGATATATTAAAATATGTGTTGCAGGGGTGTGGCAGTGAGATGGGTTGCAATAAAGTGTATGGCACAAACTTAGTTGTGGATTAACCAATCTCCAAGATCATTCTGCCTTCGTTGGACTAGAATGGGGATTTGCGACAATTTTTTTGTATTTCTTTGTTCTTTGCAATGATCTCAGATCTTCATCATCAGTGTTTTCACTTTCCTTTATGGCTTTTCAACTTTGGCAAGGCAAAATTTTTTTCGCAGGGCTAAAATGCAGCCAACCCTCAACAAGAAGTATGAAGTGACGCCCCTGTATCTCCAGTCTATCTTGCAAAGACTAAGAAAGCATTTCAAGAGTAGGGAGCGGTGGCTGCAAGCAGATACTTAACTTTCCTGTTCCTACGTCTATGCTTGTAATGTCTTGTAGTGTCAAGGTGTTTCTTCGTGGATGTATTTCATCATTTTACGGAAGTTGTTGGTGGCATCATGCAAAATCACTTTCTTTTTTCAGGGATCAGAATTACGTCATAGTGGTTGATTCCTAGTCATTTACATACAATTTATGATTATCTGAACTTGTAAGATTTAATGTCCTTTGTTTCATCATTAGCCATCTTCTGGCCTTCTTTTTCAAGTCAGCAAGTTTCAAATTTTCTTTCACATTTGAAAATGGCGACTAAAATATGAAATAAACATAATAAAACGACTATGATAAAGAATTGCATGATCGAACACTACTCCATATCTGGATTCTTAATCGAGATAAAAATGGTTTAGATTGAGACAATATGGACATACGTATTTCACGAAGGTCTACAAAACATTGGCTATGATTACATCATATTATGATTGAATTGCGCAACCATATAGGATAACCTCGTATAATTTGATCAAGTCAACTTCAAAAAATCCTGATCTTCTTCATTAATCAAATTTTTGCTAAATCCTTTATGCATGGTTTACAAGATGATTTTAAAATTATTTATGGGCTTCAGCAAACATGCTAGAGGTTGTGAGTGGCTACAAAACGTTATGTTAGAAATTATGAAAATTCTCCATCCATAGCAATACATACTCCGTTTTCAAACATCCTGTTTCTGTTTAAATGGAGCGTTTGCGCCATATTTTTCTTATTTTGTTATATCTTTATTAAATATATTGAATGAAGTTCTTTAATCTCCATCAAATTTGTTACAAACAATTTAGCGGTTGACAGGTGGACGTTCCTAGACCCCTGACAACTTAGGTCTAAACACACCCCCAAATGCAACGTCATAGCAACTGCTTACGTAGGGCTATCTTTTCACATGACCATTTTGTCGATCGTTGATTGGACAATGCATTACGTCCCACAAGGTCCTGAAAGCGCTCCTTGGATTATGTCGAACGACAGCCACGGGATGATCACACAATTGGTAAGAAATTTTACCAAAATCTTAGCTAGATGGATTAAGTTCTAGAACTGAAAATCGCATCTGTTTACATGGATTGTGGAGAGCCAAAATCTCTCATTAATCAGCAGAACCTGGGTCTGCTGGCAAAAATTTTACGAAGCGGAAGGCGTACCAATTAGGACTAACCTAGGCCATTTATCGATTTCGTCATCCGGCCATCTTCGCACCTATTGCAAAATGAGTGGTGATGCTGATGCCAGACTTCGTCGCCACTTCACTCATGTACAACTCATTGCAGGAGGAATTGGTGGGACTGCTGGAGTTGTAGCAACATGTCCACTAGATGTGGTCCAAACACGATTACAATCAACAACAGTGAAAATTCGTCGGACTCACTCTAACCTTGCTGGAGTGGGCCTAGTCAATGGAATGGACGTCAACATGTCTTCGCGGCCATTTAGTGGTGGTATCTTTTCTTACATGCGCTTTATTGTTAAAACAGAGGGATTGACAGCATTGTATAAAGGCCTAGGGCCAAATTTAGTTGGCGTTGCCCCTTCAAGGGCGATCTATTTTGCCGTTTATTCGAAGACGAAAAATTTCCTTGGAATGGCTGGCCCTCTTTCGACATCAAGCCCCATAGTTCACATGCTATCAGCATTGACAGCAAGCTTATCAACTTCTACGCTTACAAATCCTATTTGGTTTATAAAAACTCGATTACAGCTCGATTTCCGATCAACTGGCGTTAGAAGAAAAATTGAAAGTCTTGTCAAAGAAGTTTACAGAAAAGATGGCATACGTGGGTTTTATCGAGGATTAACTGCCTCATACGCTGGTGCTTCAGAAACAGTGTTGTATTTTGTAGCTTACGAACGTGCCAAAGAGACACTGGCAAAATTTCGCAATGTTAGCTATGAAGAATTGAACTCGTTTGATCATATTATGGGGGCTGGTATCTCGAAATTCTTTGCAACAGCAAGTGTATATCCCCATGAAGTAGCAAGAACAAGAATGAGGCAGCAGTTGTATCATCCTGATGGTCGTGATTTGTATACTGGATTCTTTCAAACATTAAAGAAGGTGTATAGAGAAGAAGGTCGCCCAGGGCTCTATGGTGGCATGGGTGCACACCTCTTGAGGCAGGTCCCCAATACAGTGATTATGTTTGTGACTTATGAAGCAGTTGTTAAATTTCTGTCAAACTTATGATTTGATGATTTTGCCAGTTCATGTTAACAATTTCCTCCTTTTACTTAGTATGGATGGCATAACATGGTACCTGGTACCATTTTCAGCATAATCAGTAGAGTGATAATTTGTGTGTACTACTTAAAGTGTGTAAAAGCTTTAAAGCCCAAGAAAAAGCACTACTTAAGATTTGCCAGCAGACCAGCAGTTCTATAATGATATGTATTTACTGTCTATTATTATATATAATTCAAAATGTATTCACCTTCAGCCCTATTCCGATTGTCGCCTTATAATCAAATCAGAATTGAAGTTTGAGCAAAGCTTGGTCTGTTAAGGGACATTGTGAACTGCTGTTGGCTTGTAGCCTAGTTCCCATGATAGATAACACAGCTTGTAGAATTGCTGTTTTTCAAGATTAATTCTATCAAATTTATAGGGGTATTGTGCTTTTTCAATATATATATAGCTTGAAGTATGTGAATTAATTTATTCAGTGTTTAAGATATCATAGAAAATCAATTTGTTTTAGCACTACAGCTATGATACATTTTATTTTTGAACTTAGTTTCTTTGCTGCTTCATGTTGAAAATCTGTTTGTATCTTTAATCATAGTGAACAAAATCAAACCAATAATTATATGTAAACAATTAATAAGCATGGTTTTAAAGACTTTGAAAACACCAATCCACACAATATATGGTCTCACATTATAGTAACATCTGATTTAGAACTATTTCTAGTCTGAAGGATGGCATGAGAATTCAAAGCATGGTGTGAAAATACTTTTTAATATTAAGAACCAAATTTTTGGCAGGATGGATAAGCAACACACAAAAATTTCAGAGGAAGTTCAGTAAAAGTTTGGTAGCTTTCTATCCCTGTTTGGTTTGCTAAGATTTTGCAATTTTGTACATTTCTAGCTTAAAATCATCAACACCAATGTTTGTCATTTTCTTTACTTATATTTCTTTGACTGTCTTTAGTATCTTGATGATGCAAATAAATGCCTAATTTTTAAATTAAAGTTATCTCTCTCACTTCAAAAGTTAGAAAATATTTCTCAGAGTAGTATTTGGACAACCTTGCACGCACACTTAACTTAAAGACCTTGAAATGGATTTATTTGTTAAAAAAATCTCCCATGAGCACTGTTTTGATCATAATATCTAACCGCAGTGGTTAGTTGATAAGAACCTAGAGTATTGTTTCATCTCCCAGCTTAGCGACAATCTTACGGTATCTTAAGCTAGATAGTTCTTTGATAATCATTGCTTCTTGACTTCAAAGAAAGTCTGCAATTGATAGTTTCCTTGTTACTGGTCCAAGACATTCTCTAGACTTCTGCTGGTGGGTTTGTAAACCAGCTCAGAAAAGCTTAAATGAAATATGTAGATTTATCTGCCCTCCCAAAATGATTCTTAAAGAGTGAACATGACACAAATCTTGAGGTTTTACAGTCTACAGGTGTGAGGTCTTATAAGCAATTTTCAGAAATTTTGACTTATGACCAAACAACCAGAAAGAATACCTTGAAATACCTCTAAAATGTGCAAAATCAGTCAAATATGTACAGGATCCTTAGAGATGGTTTCATCTTCTTTCAGCTTTGCATGCTCTTTTTTCAAGCTAAATAAATTGTGGAAGTGAACTGGGAAAATATCAACAAACAATAATTCTGGTGTTTGGTATTTCAGAGGCTCCTAGAGTCAACGTAAAGTGCCTAAAGAAATTCAAATCGTGTCAGGGGAGTATGCCATCAGTGTTCTTCATTGTGCCTCACTTGCACATTTTATGCCTCATGTTTTGATCAGATCCAACAACTCTGATTACTGGTGCCTAAACATGTCTCTACAGTTAGCACAATCAAAAGGCTTTCCCTTCAAAACATAAGACAATGCGTGAAAGTCTTTGACTCTAAAACTATAGTTTTTAGACAGTTTTTCCTTTTAGACTGAGAGTAACCTGGATGCACCAAACCGTCACAGCTTATAACTACACGCCATTCTTATTTCTGAAAAGTCGGTTCGTTCAGAGTTACATAATGTCTCGTCTTTTCTGCAAAGTTTACTGTTGAAGGACATTTGCCTAGAAGTTAGCATCCACATCTGATGTACTGCAACCTTTTCATTGAAAAGGCATTTGCTCCCTAAATCAATTTTAATTTCTGACAAGAACATCGCCTGCTGAGTTGTCAAATTTACCTTGGATTCAATACGTTCTGAAAGTCAGATGTTGGCAACACTTCAAGATTTGCAGTGGGCAACGGCATACTGGAAAAACCAGACCCTAGGTTTTAATGCCATCATGTTGACAGCTTTGGAAGCATTCCGACTCTGGCTCAAACATTTAACATTGTCATTTAACAATCGTCTTCCTCCTGTCCTTTTATGATTTCCAGGAGGTGAATTTCGCACCGAATTCGCTACGAGTTTGTTTCAAAAGTCCCTTTTGATTTACAACAGACTGCGAAATTATATTGTGATTCTCCCCATAACTAAACATTTTTAGGCGCCTATTGCGAAATATTTCGCAGCGGTGAAATTAGAACTCTTTTCGAAGTCAAAAATCAAAACTGCGCTCCCCCCCCCCCCCTCCTGGCTCTGGGGAAGCCGCAAATCATGTAGTAGTTAAGGGTCCTTTTTTGTTCTTCGTAGTTAATGGTCCTAGGGGTCATAGGGGTGCTAGGGTCAAAGGGTCTGGTTTTTCCAGTATGCCGTGGGCAACATATTTCTGTTTCGAGTAAAATGAAGAAAATTGAAACCTTGGCATGTATTCACTCATACCCGTGAAATCATCATTATAAACAGTTTTTACATAGGGATGCCACATTCCTTCACATGAAGAATACTCTCCTTGTCTTTTCTTGAAAGAAAATGATTTTTACATTCTTCAGTTGACATTTGTAAGATCTTCATCATCAATTCTGCCACAAACAAACCAGGGAAAAGACATAACTTCACCAGATCATGTCCACATGAGAAAATAAACGAATCAACTGAACCACAGAAAAAATTACATTTTTACACACTTCCACTAGAGCAGAGAGCTGCAGCCCCACCCCCTCCCCCCACCCTCACGAGAAGGCGTGCTAACCAAAATTGTATTAACAAAGTAAAGTTTTCTGTGAGTCATCAAAAATCTCTTAAAGGATTGCTTAGTCAGGATAATGTTTCAATTTGCTTCTTTAGCTTTGAATACCACAAAGAGTGTTTACATATGATTGACATGTGCCGAAAACATGCCTTGAGGTATATTGAAGAAGTGACTACAACATCTCTATCTATTAGTCTTTTACTAACTTGAGCGTATAATTTTCCTGAGACAATTCAAAGAGAAGGTCTGAACGCTGCCTAGAACACTTCAAATCGGATGCTGTCTGTAAAATGGAATCCGGCTTAGGGTATGGCTGTAAGAAAAGGCGTTATTTATGAACTTGCATTGGTGCCCTGTGTGGTGTCCAATGAACATTACAACTATTACAAAGAAACTTGCGTAATATTGTGGCTTGGAAAGCTTATTCGAATCTGGAGAACATTATAGCTAACTCAAAATTAGACATTCTTCTGAAGCTAGCTATGATGAAAAAGTAACTAAGCTAAAGGGGATTGAATTACAGAACGAATTACAAATTCTAGTTCACTGGGTTTTTTAAAAAGCATTTTCATGATGTAAGCCTCCAGTTACGACAAGCACAATTGCCCATAGACAAAGATTTGCACATTGTATCTCTGTTATTAATTGCCATGACTCTAAAACAGAATATGAAAACTTGTCATAGAAAAAAGGACAGTTATTTGAGATAGCTATATAATCATTTGATAAATTATTATTCTAATCTACAATATAAACGCAGCTAACAACTACTACGCAACAGTATTTACAGAGGAATAGCCAGATAACTTTACCGGCGGCTCAAGTATGCAATGGGCCAATGACAATCACTGTGAAATCGGAAAACTGCGAAAATATCCTCGTTGATATGCTGTTCAGTTCTTTTGCACAAAGAACTAGAAAATTTTGCGGTTATTGCGTTGAAAAGTGACAACACCGGATAAAGTGCAACGTGAGGAAACTGACAGAGTTAATTAATTGAACATGGGAATAGAGGTTCATTTGTGGATCCTGAAGAGACAAGTAAGAAGCATACTGAAGAGAAAACTGACACTACGGAAAAGACACTAGATAAAGCTAAGAATTGGTACATAAAGGCAAGAAACAGTATATTGAATAGATTACCAATATAAACAAAAAACATCGTTCCATGTATGTAGACGGGCATAAACTTAAAGTTCCCCATGCATCTTTGTTCTGAATAGGGTATGTTAACAGTTAGCTCAAGATGCAGCATCTGCCCTACACTGCTAGCCATTTTATAACCTAAAACCTAACAATTTGATATCCCCTGTTACAAAATTAAGAAATAGTTAATTTCTTGTTCTCCAAACTTGTATCACTGTAAGCCAACTTCTACATTGGTATATCACACATTCAGTCCATTATAGATAAAGAAAAATTCTACAAAAATGCCACTGCAAGAAAAACAGCATTTGAAATTGATACAAGTGCATTCGGGTATTTATGCATAATTTATCAAATCTGTTCTTGCAAGTTGACAATTGCAGAAAAACTTATCTATCCTACATTTTTGGGAAAGTATCTTAGACTAATGAACACAAAAAGAGTCTGGTTAAATTTTTCAGATTTGAACACCTTTGGTGCGTAAACCCAACAAAAGCAGAAATCAAAAACTGAAAACTGCTTGCTTCAAGAAAAAAGACGACGACAAACTGATCGACGACTGGTGGGTTAAGGACATTTCAAAGCGTCAAAAGCCTTCCATTAAAAATTAGCAAATGGCATCAAAGTTTAGAGCATCCAAGCTTGTTGTAGATGCCAACGGAAATGTAAAAGCATCTTCAATTATTTGGACAGCTTGTCCATTTTAATCTTGCAAAAATCCGTTTGATTTTTAAATGCAATATGTGCTATCGCTCTCCTTACAAGTGCTCTTGCTTCGTAAAACAAAGTCAACCAAATCTTACCATGCAGAAGGTTGCTTTCAATTCAATAAATCCGACGCAAAAATTGATTCGATAAAATTGACAAATTGACAGTTTCAACCATACAAGCGGGCAACAAAAAGATTGGATTGTAACAAACGCTTTAGTTGCATATCTTGGATGCTTAAGATATATTTTTAACACTACCAATCAGATGAATAATATTCTTCATAAACAAAACCGGGACAAAGATAACGTCTAGAATTAAAAAATTTCTGGTAAGAAAATCACAAACTAGAAAATCTATGTACATCTAGCAGGGATCTACCACGGATGGAATTCTGAGAAAAATTCTACTACAACTTAAAAACACTACAATCCCCTATATCCTGAATTTCTTTTCATGAGTGTTTCACAGCAAAGAAGCCGGAGACCCAATCTTGTCTGTAACTGTACAACAGTAGGGTGCACAGCTCTCTGCAACTAAAGGCCACAAATATCGATTCAATGGGTCATATGCAAGAAAAGCTGGGCAAAGCTCTTTCCAGGTTATTTGAATTGATTACCAGCCAGACCTTTACAAAATGTGTAAAGACTCGATGTGGATAAGTCTACATAACGGTTGCAATACAACAAATGTATATGGACAATTGTGTTGACGCACGAGTGATATCTGTGTGTAAAATTAAGCTATTAGTTGTTCAACTGTCAATCCACTACAAAACCTACTTGACTGTTTACATCTTCCTCCGGAGATCTACAGCTAAATCTTGACAGCTAAATCTCCTCCATCATCTACACAAGCTTGGTTTGAATACATACTTCTTCAAGGCATTCTTGATATTCTGGGTAATTTTCAGTAGATAATGAAATTTTAAATTATAATATTTGGGACTTATTATCTTGAATGTAAATCATCATGTTCCAAAGTTATGCCACATCCCTTTTTTCGTGTGAAATACATGGAAAAGGTTCTTAACTTTCAGCCTTTCGACTTCAAACCTTGACATCAGTACGCGATCTAGCATCTCCCAGTCTTCTCCTCCCCAGTGGTCTTTAAATGCTGCGTAGTTCATGCCACCAAAAATATCCCAGTCTGACTTATAGGTTGCGAAAATTCCATAGCCAACGTTTTCCCAGAATCCTTCTGGTTTATGACGATTCGCAGCGCAGTTTAGGCGAGCGAGGATTGGATTGAACGTCATCTTGCTCTGAACACAGTGCTAGAAGGCAAACAGCTTTCTAAGAACAACATTCTGAAAAGAAGCTTTATAGCAAAAGCATATGGAGAAATCGCATTTGCATCTCGTGACAATTATTTGCAGGGATTTAAATTCCTTGATATGCAGGAAAACTTCACAAATTTGTCAAAGTGGGGAAAAGACTGACTGAAGATAAAAAAATTAGTCTGGAAACCTAAAGGCTTAGAAATCTAGAAAATGTATCTGTATTGTAGTAACATCAATCGTAACAGGTAACAACATTATCATAACATGAAACAGAACAGCCAAGATACAGCATAAGTTCCAAATCATTTATTGACTTCTTAAGGTTTAAAAACTGGGATATTTCTGTAAAGCCACACCCCTTATTATTACAAGGGTTTGGAAGGAACAACTTCAAGCCTTCGTAACAAACGATTTCGAATAAATTTTTACTGAGTACAATGGCAATTTTTTCATAAGTTGATCAAAGAATAAATTTTTCAAAAGTACATTAGGTTATTTTATAGCACATTTTACACGTTTATTTTTTGTGGGTAGTGGTAAAAACGTCCAAGATAGGCCTAAATCTAGCTGCGAGACACGTTTGTTGTCATATTCTTGAATTCTGATAGGCTAATGGGGTATGGAGAATTTTGGTCGCTCAGCCAATCAAAGATTTGGAACCTATGCTCCAAGATACAAAGTTTGAAAAATGTTGGAATTGATTGTTGTGGAGGTAGATATGGCTTCTCGGATTTACTCATTCAATTAAATGTTCCCATATCAAATTGTGTATATCTACTTACCTTGCGAACAATATCAATGAAGTTATGTGGAATAAGAAGATGCAGGTCCATCAATAGAATAATACTGTTCGGGTCCGTTACTGTGTTTGCTGCTTGTTGAATTGCTTCACTCTTGAAAAATCCACCAAAGCGATTCAGGAGCGTGAATCGTGGTATAACGCTTCTCTCTAGTTCATCTTTCAGGTTGACATCTTTGCTATCGAAGTCGACAATAATCAAGTTAATGTTCTCATCCTTGGACACTTTATATATCTCCTCGACTGCATCAACAAAATACTTTGCCCATCGTCCTTGACCTCCAACAGTCAAAATTACGTTAACCACCGAGCTTTTATTCCACTTAAAATTCTCTGGATAACAGAACGATGATGATCCCTTGGGTAAAAAGACATACTCAGAAAACCTAACCGGCCTGTTCTTCTTTAAATCGAGTAGCTCCAGCTCTACCAGATACCTCTTACCCTTCTCAAGGTCGATGTTCTCCTCCACGTTGATTATCGATGCCAGCTGATATTTTCTGCAAAAAAGCACGAAAAATCTTGTTTTGCATAATTGAAAAACAGAACTTCTAGCACATCGATAACTTTCGTTTTTCGATGCATTTCGTATGAGCTGCAAAGCAGTGATGACAATATTGATTGAAAGCAATGTCAGTTGTCGCTAAGAATCCCATGGTTTTAGTCAAACACGCGTCTATGGTATGACTTAAATGGTATGACATTTGGACCAATCACATACTTGGAAATCTAAATTTACTTTTAGAAGGAGAAATAGGGCCATCTATCTGTCGGAATGTTGGAAGCAGGGGGAGCTGGGGTCTTTCGCTGTTTCAATATTTTGCAAGATATAACTAGCCTGCATGCAGACTCAACTGTGGCAAATTTCACGTAGGAAACTTTTAGAGCCTGCACGCAGGCTAGATATAACATACAGGTATCGTTGGGATTCCAAGTTGGGATTTTATTTGAAGGCCTGTATTTCACTGTCTGGGATAACAGAGAATTGAAAATACTAAAAAGGCAGCGTCGTACTATCTGGAAAAGATGAACCAAGGTTTAAGATAAGACCTTTTGGATTTTACATTGTCCAGTATATAATAATTGCCCAGTATATAATCATTATCCAGCATTTAATCATTAAATCTGTGAGGATTTTAGTTAAGACTAAAAAAAATTCTTCAATGATTCACTAATCCCTAGTCCTATCAAATATCTATTGCAAAGATACAAATGTTTAATCTAGAGCTTTAGCTTTAGCTACAACGAACTTTTTTCACTTCTGCTACTTGATTGATCGTGTTAGTTGCTTACAGCTCTTTCAAATCATATATTGAATTCTTGTAAGGGGCGTTATATAGGTTGAAACATGAATTTAAGGTGAACATCTTGACATGATCCAAGGAGAAACACTGGGGTTTCTGTCTAACACAATATTGGGTTTCCTAGTAATTTCTATTCTCATGGAATTGATAGTCACATAAAAGAAATCTTTTCACAATACAGCTATTCATCCCAGCTACAAAAAGATACCCACCTGCTTCAAAAATGCCATGATTTAATGACTATTGTGTTAAATATGTCGAAATTGCACACCAACCAAAGGATTTTTTTCACAAGTAATCAATAAAATATGCCACTGATAAAGTTGCTTGAGAACACATAATGCTATGATTTGAATAAGATCTGGTTTTTCTCTCATACATCATTTCTAGTATCAAGCAATAGAGATTATTGATCCTAACAGTGATGAATTATTCACTTTGAATACAATGTCAAAAACCACAAAATACAAGTAAAAAAGATTGGCATAAAAACAGAATTGAGAAAGGCTTTAAAACTGTTCTGCCATGAACTGCATTGAAAAAATAAGTGACATGGATTGTTGAAAACTTGCCCATCTATGTTTAACCCATATCTTCGCTCAAAGCAGAAAATAATATTTTGGTAGTACAAAACTCAAAAGTGGCTTTGAAAAAAGCAAAGAACATTTTGAGTCATACTTAAAGTTTTTGTCTGACACTCTTCAGAGTCATGGGATTCTTCTATTGGCATCATTTGCTAGAAAACCCAAATTATCGTTCCATCTAGCATTTCTGGAAACAACCTTAAATCCTCAAAAAAGCCCGAGGAGCTTATTTGCAAAAATGAATTTTTGGGTGGGGGCTTATTTGAGTGTGGCGGCTTATTCGAGGTTTACAGTATCTACATAAACTTGAAAAAAACACTTTTGTGTAGACAGAAGGAGTTAATTTTCACCTTAGGACTCCATTGGTAACATTCTCAATAGGCAAGCGACACTGATTGGGCAACCTCAACAGTCATGTGCTTGCATTTTCTTATTGGCCTATTTTGATCCAAAAGTGGATATATATTTCCTAGCGTATAGTTTTCTATCTTTTATCTATGTTCTGATGTTCTGACGAAAAGCTTAGGTATGACTCAAAATGTTTGCTTTTTCAAAGCCATTCAAACGTAAAAACAAATAATATAGCAAGGCAAACCATTTAATATCATCAAGATAGAGTAGCAACAAAACTATACCTTATAAAACAAAACTAGCTGTACTCAAGATAGGCACATTTTATGATAAATAAATTAGTAATGATATAATAAAGAATATGTTATTGACCTGAAAGGTTTAGAAAAATTATGATTTATAACATAACATTGTTAATAAACCAAATTTTTGTGGTCTTATCATTCTCTATCACATTATGAACAATAAAAATTAATAAAAGAATTACTTAAAATAACAAAAAACTGCCGGTACTGTTAAACAAATAGTAACATAAGGCTTTGAAAAAGTAGCCTAAAATAGATTCTGTTGTTACAAACCCACTTTCAAATGCATCTATATTCCCTTACACAATATTATTATTTTGTTTTATTATGTGGAGGAAGGATAATGACCAAATACTTCTAGCAGTTGGTAGATTAATTAAATACTGAGAGCTAATGAAAATTGAAGCAGTACCGAAACAGCTCACTTCTATTCAATTTGAAAATCAGCTTAATAAAGCTTCTTTTTGGAAAATCCCCTTAAACTTTGCAAAAAAACTCCCATAAAATGTATAAAGAAGTATATTTGGCCAATTTTGGTACATATGATATTGTTGATTATAGAAAATGCAATGTCTTAAGGGCACTACAGGCAAAAGTCACAAGTGACCACAATTTTTTCCCTGACAAATAGCACAAGAAATCAATGACAGCAAACAACAGTTCCAATAGTCCTGGCAAATCATTCAATGTTGTCACAGTTATAAACATCCCTGGTGCAAATATTTTCTTTGTTTAAATTGATGTAGAAAATAATATACAAGACACACAAAACTTCTATAATAAAATTGTATTATGTTCTAAACACTGAATTTTTGAATTTTAATTTTGTCATTCTTAAGTTAAGCTCCATGATATGTATATACTATTGGATCAAGTTCTATTTGGTTTTGTGGAAGATTCCTTCCAATTCCCTTTTTATGGTTTTTCTTTCCTCCCCTTTTGGCATTGACAAGGACACAGTTAAATACCCCTGCCCCCTCTGAAGATTCTGAATAATCCAGCCCTAGGCAAACTTTTTCACATCATCTTTGAGTTAATTTATGGTTACAATAGATTTTGCTATATCAAATACAGCACTGGATAAATTTCCACTGAATAGGTATATATTTTCACTGGAGTCATTAATAAAGAGAAATTGAAAATGCAGAAAACCTATCAAAAATGATTTATTTTGGAAGCAAAGGCAAATTACCAGCAATAAGCTGTAACTACTGGAGGTGTTTTCTGAAAATAACATTTTTATGTTTATTTGACAAATCCCTTGTACCTGTAATAATACACAGAAAAACTAAATTTTGGTATTCCAAAACAAATATCTTCCATCTGTTATACAGAGGACTTGAGGTTATTAAAATTTCTGTTTAGACCTTTCACGGAATAAACTTTGAAATTGTGAAGTATGTATAATTATTCTGAATTTAGTTCATGGCAAATGCCTGCTCCATGTTAAACCAATAGTTGTCATTGAAGGATAATACACATTTTGAACTATATAACCTTTTTCTAAAAATTACATTGGTGGTTCAATGCTTGTGCTTTAAGTATGTGGTTTTAATTAAAAACCAGCGGTCCACCATATTTTATCAAAAGCATAACAACAGGTACTGTTCATTTTTCTACCCATATTTGCCTAAAAACTTAATGAATCAGCAGCTGCTTTTTTCTTATAGACAAGACCAAGGTTTCTTGTTTTACTTTAACAGTTTTGTTAACATATCTCTTAAAACAGCTTCAACTGGAAATGGGATCTTATGACAGTAATTCATATACTTGTATCTGTGGAAAGAGATTTTTTTTCTATATGTGATAGATACAGCACATATACATTTTTTAAACATTGGTCTTTCCATTCATAGATTGAAAGTTTTGCTGTGATCTTCCTTATAAACATAAGCTAACTATATATAGTGTGATGGTTATCAAAGTGTTGTTTGCCACTGTGACTCACTTTTCTACAAGCAAAAGCCCAAACCTGCAAATTGCTGACACTAAAAGGTTTCTGTTAAACACCAAGATGGCTTGTAATCTTGGTGGTTAAGCATGGACTGTTCCCAGTTCAAGCCCTCAGCCTGATCCAACTTCAAGTATAAGGAGGGAAACTTTTGGCCACAGTTCAGCACTTTTAAGCTTCATCTAGAATAATTGAAAAAATCGAGAAAAAAAATGATGAATAAATATTTGAATTGTATACTTTACCCTGGATTCTTCTGTTTTATTGAAGCAGCTATGCTATTCACAACTTTCATAACAACATCATCTTGCAATAAATCATTTCCAAAGATAATCTGCCTCTCTCCAGAAGATAAAAGATCAGTTATGTTAGTTTGATCAGATGGGTAGATTGATGAAAAATGTGTTTCCCACACACCATCATACTTGTTTAAATGATTTTGTACTATGTAACTAGGCTTATATGTGCACTTTGGTAAAATTTCTGCTATATCTGCTTCATCTATAAACGGAATTTTAAAAATTTCATCTCTTAAAGAATGTGTTCCAGCTGCTGTAGGAGTTGCCTTCTCTTTCATTCTCTTTAGCAAATCCGGCTTGAACTCTACAGCAGGGGTTTTGTAACCCCATATAGTTTCCGTGGGAATGTAAGGTTCAAATGTGACAGATTGCTCGTTTCTCCTGCATGAGGCATCTTGGTGCTTTATAACTATTTCAACATTTTGGGTACCATGACCCTGTTTATGAAAGACTTCAAAGTAATACTTTCGATCTTTTTCAAGGTTAAGTTCCCCCTTTGTTTTTTTACCTTCCGCGTTCGTTCTAATAATTTGCTTTAATTTCTCCCTCGTCTGGTCATCGCTTATCCAAACTTCAGAGTTACCACTTTTAATCTTCAGATCAATGCGAAAGTTTCCGCTACAGAATGGTATCATGTAACCAACCAACCACACCGCATAGTTCTTACCGTAATTAGGAAGCTTGAAACTCTTAGAAAAGCGCTTCCTAGAAGGCATGTAGGGGAATAAAGGATAATTGAAAAGATTGTCTAGACTTTCTCCGCAGATTTCATCCCAAATGAATACGTTGAAAATTTTCCCAGCTGAGTTCTTAAGGATTTCACCTGCACGATCACGATAAGTCATCTCTGCGCTGTCCGGTTGGTTCATCGCAACGTTCCGCAGTTGCTGGACACGATTCAAGGTTAAATTAAGAGTGCGATCTTGCTCAGAGTTGAAATTCTGAACAGGCTTAAATAGTTCTTCTCGTTTAGTGTCTGCGTAAACAGGAATTCCCAGTCGCAGGCCATTATTCCTCTGGCCTACCAAAAAAGCAGGAACACGTAGGTAGGGAGTTCCTCGAATCTTTGATACATAAACCCACTTGCTGATCAGTGCTAAACTTAAGAAGCAAACAACAATGCTAAACACAATGCGTACTTTCCATTTTGAGCCTCTTGGCAGCCTGATAAGCATAATGCCTGTCTTTTAGGTCGCTAGATTCTTGAAACAAGGACTCTCTCGATGTCGCAAGTCGCAACTACCTAGGCCAGTGAATGCATGTCATGTCGATGCTCCGGCGCAGTTCCGTGTCCGGTTCCCGGGCAGATCCAGTGTCCAGCGCTATTTTCATGATAATTCTCCCAACTTCGGCATTTTGCATTCTAAATTGTCAATAGTGTTCAAAGTCAGTGTTGGTAGTTACTTCACAGTTCAGTTCAGTTCAGTTTCATATATTTTAAATTCATTACATACAATTTATATATAATTTGTATGTAAGTAACTAAACTACAATGAAAAATATTACAGAAATTAATATATTGATACAGAAAAATTAATACAATATACAATACATAGGACTGGGATAAATGGTATGGAGTGAATTATTTAAAGGGGGAGCTCTCTCAATGGATAAACTAATCGCGGAGAGAGCCCCCCCCCCTAATATCCTATCCACATAGATATGTACTATAGTTATTTGCATTTGGATATTAAGACTTTCAACGAAAATTTTAAAGAAAGATAGCAGGTATGTAGTTGTAAAAGGGGGGCTCTATGAAGTTTTTCTAGTCGTGTAATCATCCACAACTGGGTATATATTTTTCATCGTGTTCTTTCGGACCCTTATTCTGATGTCTTATGCTCTGAGGAGTGTCAAACAAAAAAGCTTTTAGCCAATCCACATTTATAAAATGTTTGCTCTTTTCAAAGCCATTTTCAAGCTCTGTACCGCCATAAAACGGTTGTTAATTCAGGCAACTAACCCCATTTCTAAATGCAACAATAAAAACCAACTCTCTATACAAAACTGCAACCAAACGTACTCAGTAAGAAATTATTCAAGAATTTTCCATCTTTATATGTTAAACGTTGTGTACATTTTCATACATACAGTATGAAGCTAACAATGCATTTAGATCTATCTGTCGTTTCTCTTTTTTCCTTTTCGTATTTAGTCGGTAATGGCTGACCTGTGGCGAAGTAACAATTCTTTACAGCTTCCTTTCCTGTATCAAAGCACAAACGATGAGGGGGAGGGGGCTGCACCCCCCTGAGCCCCCCAGCACTGCATCTCTGGCTACTGTAAAACAACTATGTTTTACGGGTAAGGATAGGCAAAAGAAGGACAACAAAATATGTACAAAAGTTTTCTTCAATTTTCAAACGACTGCGGTTTCAACGTAGCTTCAAAAAACTAAAACGACTTTCATCTAACGAACGGCAACTTTACATGCGACTATAGGCGACTTCAACTGAACGATACGACACGACTTAACTTCACGGCTTCACATAACGACTGAATTCACAAACAAAAGGGCACAGCATAAAAATCACACGACAACACACCTTAATTACGATAACAATATAATTATTTCAAACAACAAAGGACTAATGACAACAATAGTGGCGATGGGATGATGCAATAACACGGAATGTTGATGGCAAGGTGACAAACAACGGAACTATCGAGAACATCAAAACTAAATAAAACATAAAACTAATTGCATAACACTACAGCAACAAACATGAAGCTTTTGTGACCAATAAAATTACCATAAAGCAAAATTTTTTTTCTGTTGTTTATTCAAAACAGACTGTTCACCATGAAAATATTATCGCTTTGTTGAGTTTGGTTTAATAGGACTGAAGATTGAAATGCTTCTCTAATGAAAACATTTTCAAACCAATCTTTTGGTGGTACAAAACTTAAAAACGGCACCGAAAAAAGCTAACATTTAGTAAACTCGGCGCAGGGGCGCAAATGCAACTTTGTTTAAGGGGGGTGTTATTTGAAGGGACCGAGTTTTCGCCACGACAGACCGATTTTTGCGATATAGATATTGTCGGGGCCACTCTCGAGGGCCGTCGCGAGGCAGGCCTTGTTGAGGGGGGGGGGGGGGGGGGGGGTTAAATGATTTACAAATTTACCTGTTGATAATGATTGCTAAAAATTATATAATTGCAGTCGAGTATAACCTCTGCAAATCATTTTTGTGAATCTAGCGTCTGTATATAATTTCGCCAAATATATTTTTTATATGATAATGAACGGACTTTCCTAATTAGTTTTCTTGTCCAGGGGGCGTAACTTGGCCAATAGTTTTGGGGGGGTGAAAAGGGTTTCTGCCCTGCAAAACTGAGTGGTGCCCTGCAGACCTCGTAGCAACGGTTTGTCTATAGGTTACTAGTGAAAGCTTTACCAGTGTACACTGGTCTTTACCAAGGACAAACTTCTAAGCAAAAAAAACAAACTTGAAACTTCATTGCCTATGAAATTTCTATTTCTCTACGTGAGCGTAAATTTTTTTTTATATTCACTTCATTTAATGTTGGTTTGCAAAATTAAGCTAATAAACAGCTAATTGGGGGGTGGGGGGATGGGTACATGATGTAGACAGCGCAACGAAATTTAACCCAGTGGGGCTAAGAGTCGAGTTTAGTGAGGTAGGAGGACCCACCATGGTTGGGTCCGACGTGAAAATTTTTTTTGAAATTATACCTTGTAAAAAGGGCTAAAAAGCATCTTTCAGACAAAAATTTAGCAAAATACTATTGTGCTAAAAGAATTGATTGTTTATTGAAAATATTATTGTTAATTGTGAAAAAACGGGAGGGGGATGTCATGCTAAAACTCTAGTGTTAGACGTTGGGGAAGGAAAGAAACGGCAACCTTTCGTTTCAGATTGCACGTAGTTGTGAATGACAGAGGAAGATGTTGTTTTGATTGGGAGAATTTTTTTCCTGAACAGAAATGTGCAGTTTCTTGTATCAAGAAGGCCATGTTTACGCATCCAAAATTAAAACATTGCAATGATACAGAAAATGATTTACTGAATTAATGCAAATAAAAGAAAAATAATAAAAATATACGTGAAAAAGTTAGCAATTAGATGAAACGGTATCTTAACGATTTATTATGTTTTTTAGTTCATGCACTGTTAAAAAGTAATAGAAAAAATGATAAAAAAAATTTCTATCTTGACCAAAGTGAGGGACTTCAGCCCTTTATTCCCCCCCCCCAGTGAAGCCGTGCTTGTCATGAAAATAATTTACAACTTAAATTAATTTGCATGACTCAACCTTGCCCTCATAAACATATGCATCAATCATTGCATCCATTGGCTATGACTTTCGGTAAGAAATGCTTTCGCTTTGCAAATAACGGAGCTTTTCCTTACATACCTGTTCCGTTCTCTAAAATGCAATGTCAGGAAGGGAGGTTCATAACAAATACGATATTTCCATTTCAAAATTCCTCAACGGCTCTTTATGAACTTCAGAGGTGGCATTTCTGCGTGGCAATAAAGCTCTTCTTGGCGCCCTGCGAAATCTTCGATTGCCCTGCGAAATCAACTATTTTTTGGATTGGGGGGGGTGTCACACCCCCCCACACCCCCCCGGTAGTTTCGCCCCTGGTTTTGTCAAATCTTGAACAGCAGTTAAAAACAACGGGTACAATTTTGCTATGGTCTTGAAAAATACCATGTTGTCAGTTACTTCTAGGTAACAAGCAACACTGGTTGTCAATTTAGATCACTCTTTCCATCTTAGTATCGACGGATTCTGTCCCCTGTCATTTTTCGATGATTGGCCCTTTCTAGAAAATGCGTCTACTATATGCCTTATTTTACTGCAATACAGCATGCTACCAGCAGAATTGGGACCAGCTTTGAGTGCGATAGACAAAAATACCTATGCAGAGGGCTAGATCGGGACCGACTTTATTGCTATAAACTTTCAGCTGGGACCGGGTAGTGAAATTATTGGGGGGAGGGGGGTGAGCACCCCCCTCCACACCCTTCTTCATTTGCGCCCCTGACTAGGCGATATAAACCGAAAGCAACAGTTCGGCAATTACTGCTACAAGCAATTTTTGGCGGCGGCAAGAATGTTCGGCGCGTACACTTTACTGAATTTAACGGCTAACGGCAACTTCATAAAACGGGACGGCTTCGACACGACTTAACTTCTCGGCTTTATATTACGACTCTATATAACGACTTTCCTTGACGGCTTAACGACTTAACGACTGACTCAACATAAAACAGCATGACAATATAATAAAAAACACTTGACCGAGAGGCAATAAGATGCTGAAAACAAGTGATAGAAACTAATGAGGAATGGCATGGCAACGGATTACAGATTAAGGTTACGGTAAACGTTTTCTGGATGAAAACATCATTTTTTCGATTTTTTCACATTCAAGTAGCCGAACTTTCAAGGCACACAATGATACCAAATTTGAAACAAACAGAAATTTTGAAAGTGGAAAAAATCCCATGTAAACGAAGGTTTCCATAATTTCTTTATCAAAACTTTTAGTTGAGGCCTGAAAATCTCTTGACCTGTTAAGCTGATTATCGTTGCTTTGCGGTTGTGATCGCATGTCTCATTTACAATATCGCATGGCACATCCATATATCCAATGTACGGCCGTGTTTATTTAAACAGGCTTATTGATCTTAAATCTTCAAGTGACTTGACCCGGATTACACTGTGGTTTACGAGTGTATCTTGCAAGTGCGATCAGTAAAATCCCGTTTTCTCCGGACTCGAAATTTCTCTACATGCAGGTACGAAAAAGCTATTATGTACCCAAGGAACCAATCGAATGGCTCGAAAATTTGCACACGGCCAGGGCAGACGATGGGCAAACAAAGTGTGTCTCAAAATTTTTTTATTTTCTCTGGTCCGTCTTTTATACCCAAATACAGCTGCGGGAGGGTGGAAAAATTATTTGCCAATTTTTGACAGGGTATAGTTTCAAGAAGAGGAGGAATTTAAAAAATCTGAGACACACTTTGGTAGCTTAGGAACTGCACTTCCTGCTGGTCTAAGTCAGATTTTGTTACCTCAAACACAAGGGTACATAATAGCTTTTGAAGGTGGTACACTTTTTGACCAGTAAATTCGCATGGAAAATAACATTTAACATTATTATCCAATAATTTTTATCTGGCTAGATACGCCATAATCTTGTGCATCGAATGATATATAGTTTATCCAGATTCCTTGAGCCGTTTGGCCTTTAGGAAGGAAAAACCAATTTTCGTGTTCAAAACGTTTACCGTAACCTTAACAA